AAGTACACGCACAGGCAAAGGGTCGAAGCTGCTACGCGGGCTAGCAAAGATAGGCATTAGAAGCCCAAAGTCGGCTGCAAGATGAGAATGAAAGATCCTGTATATCTATAGTAACTACTCTAAGCTTATATTAACGCTGCTGTAGGACTCTATATAAGTCTCCACCTCTACTACTATCTACTCCCTAAACATGCGTACGTGGAGTCTGGTGCCGCGTTCAAGCATGTATTCGAGCACAAGCGAGTCATGCTTAGCCTTACCTGCTAGTCGCTAGCCGGGTGGCTCTGTCATAGCCACGTTCGCGGCGGGACAAGGGTCTGACATCAGCGCGGGTAGAATACCGCTAAGCCACTTGCGGCATTTCCGTACGACTCGCAGCTAGCGCGCCTTAGTTGTCGATCCTGCTCTGTAGAGGAACAGGCTTGCGCAACAGCGCCACAACCTAGAATGCTGTAGTACCCCGCTCGGGATACACTCTTTACATGTCTTTGCGTAGCTTGACAGACTCTTAGATGCATGCGTTCAGCCTTTGGCGCGTCCGAGGCAGTCCGAGGCAGGCCTGTCGTACGTGGCAGCAGCGTATCGTAGTATTGCTAGCCAAGCAGGAATCTATTGACGAAGAGACGCAGTGTAGGAAAAGCTCAAGGGTTAAGATCTCTATCCCGAGATTTTTGACGCCTCTCAGCCATGTTTTGGTTTGTTGTGGTAGGGAGCACGATCGGCATGCCGGCACACAGGTTTTTCCCCCACACATGGAGGGATAGTACTCACAGATCGACTATAACAATCATCGGGTGGGCATTAGGAAAACGTTGGCTAATTTTGTGCAAAGGGAATTCGTTAATTCTACACGATTACGACATCTAACGGTAGCACCAGAGATCTACAAATCAGCAATCATCACATACGTTAGTTATACTAGCGGTAAGGCCAGGGTTCTCAGTGGTATCGCATTCCAGGTGTCCGCCAGGATAAGTCATAATCCACGTCGATCTGTTCTTCCGATTCATCCAGAATCGTCCGATTTATGCGTAAGAAATCAGGCAGTGTACCTCCAAACGTGCCGGCTGCTTCTTCCATCTCTCTACCCAAGCGGGCCTGCATCGCAAGACTCACGTTGGTTGCAGTGCGATATCTTTCTTCTGCTAAGCGAGCCTCTCTTAGAGCGTCAGCCAGTTGATCCTCTGATGAGCGCCTCCTAGCTCCTGCCGAACGTCTACTAGCTTCTATAGTTATTCTCTGAGCCATGATAGACTCTGCGGTGCGGATTGAAGAGCTCGAGTTCAATGATTGGCACGTTGATACGGCGTACAGCTCACAGCGGCAGTTCGGGCAAGTGCGGTTTTGCCGTGCAGTACCTGAAAGCCACGCGAGAAGGCATACTGTGTGGAACATGTGGCCGCATGCGCCAGCTAGCTTTACCACATCATCAGCGAGATTTTCGGTACAGATTGAACAATCTGAGTTTGCAGACTGGACACATGTAGGTACGACGCCGGTCATGAAGAACTCTCCCTGGCTGCGAAGAGCGGACATACTAGACGGTGGGGCTGTACTGGGCTCTTGGGACCCAGGATTGTTTGGTAGGGTCATTTTCTTGTCTGGTTGAAGGAAGTTTGGGAGTGTAGACACTGGTCGTATCTGCTATGACTGCTAATTAGCTTTGTAGAGGTGAGTGTAAGTGTGAATATCTTTGAATCAATGCGTATACTTACGAATGGGGGTTACTAGAACCACAAGGAACCACATGATATATGTGGCTTACCTCCAGTGTATTGTAGCAACGATTCTACTATCAAGTCACAACGAACTCATGCTATACGATTTGAAGGTCAAGCTGTACAATGTGGGATCGGGTACAAGAGGAGTGTAATGTTCGAGATCCCTACTCTGCTTTGCTTACCGCTCTCACAATGTCTTTTGAATTCGTTCGTTTCGAAAGCGTTGGACGGACATTGACCATGACTACAAGACTTCGATGAGCCTTTTGCGTATCAGAGTCATCATGCAAGTAGACATATTGAGGAAAAAGTATTTGTTGATTAAAGGCTAAGTTTTTCATTCTTACTAAACTAAAATGATACCGCGTAGCAAGCAGCTAGTTCACGCACTTGAACCCTAACAGCTGACGGCCCATTTACAGCTTAAACGTTACCAGGATTACCTTCTCAATCCATCTCCACTCGAAAATGAGCCATGATGTTTCAAAGAGCTGCTAATTTTGGGCCACTCTTCTCCCAACCACTTGATATAGTACCGCAACAAGATGAGTCTACAGTAGTGCATCTGGAGCATCGTCATCTGGGGGGTGCAGATCTGAGGGACTGTGCAACACAGAAACCATCGACATGAGCCTTCTCGTATCATCAAGTTGACGAGATAGATCCTGCGTTAGCTGTCTGTCTTCCACAACCGACCTTTGATCGCCTGCTGAGGCAGACTGTCCGGCTGAAGAGGTCTCAGAAGGCGTGCTCCTAGGGAATAATGGAGTTTGACCATCATTGTTTGGTCCCCCGTCGAGTGTGTTGGTGGATTCCACATTCTGGAGGTGGTTTAGAATGAGAGAAAATTGACGTGTTCCTGATGCTTGTGTCCGGGTATCGTGTCTACTTGATGTAACATAGTCGGCCGACCATATACTAGTTTCCGAGCCCATAACCCTCCGATCCGGGAACTCGCGAGCCGAGCGTAAGTCAGAAATCGTTGGATCAGCAAGGTGAGGAATCGCGATTGGTGGCGGCCGTCGAGTTGACAAATCATCCTGTGTATCAGGCGGCAAGTGATCCGGAGTGGGTCGAAGCACTACAGTGGCTCTACGCTCTCTAAGGGTATCTGCTTCTTGTAGATTCTGGCCTATCTGGTTCTGGACCTCACGGAGGCGATCTAATAACGAATTCTGTTCGTTTTGAAGGTCACGGGTAGAGCGCCCAGCTGGCGTTAGGTCTTGTGGTGGAACGATGACCAGCCGATGGCCTTGAGAATCAAGAACCCGCAAAGAGTCACGGCTTCTGTCAGATGAGGTGCGTTGAGATTTCAATGCTGGATGTTGTACTGGTTGTGGAAGATCTGCATCTCTATTGTTCAAACCTGGTTCCAGTACTAGGGGGCGACGCTGTGCAATAGCACGTGCTGCCAGAGTGGCACGAGACTCGCGTGGTCGTATTGGGTGTCGGTTCATTGTCGGTGTTGGCGCGTTTGGCTGATCCAGCGGTATCGAAGGTACCCTAGGAGACTCATCAACATTAGGAACATGGTCCGACGTGTGTGAGTCTACCCGTTCATCTTCAGAGTGCGAATTTCCAGGAGATGCAGTAACCCGTAATGCATCAGTCATGATCTGGCTAGCCTGCTGGCGACGAGTAGCTCCCCTATGAGGCAGGCTTGATGTCCTCGGGGGAAGACCAGCAGTATCTTCATGGGCCGGAGAATCATATCTTGCACGTTCCAAGGCATCAGTGCGAGGAAGGTGGTAGCCATGAGTGAGTTCGGCCCAAGTCCGTGGTGTGCCTCGAGGGCGTCGAGTGGTAGCTTGTCGCTGCGGAGTGACAGCTGTAGGCCGTTCAGCGCCAGTGTTCAGCCCCTGATCCGCCAAACGACGTTGGAAAACAGCAATAAACTCATTACGGAGATCATTATTAGACCGTTCTGTAGTATCAGTTGCTTCTTCGCGGCGACTTGGTTGTTCACGATCAGAAAGAGCAAGTGCGAAACGCCTTTGGCCATCAGTCATCACTGGCCGCTCGACACTCTGAGGCGGCGGCGCTGTACGCCCATATTGTGGGTCCGGCTCATACAGCTCATGACGACAGTTCGGGCAGGTACCTCGCTTACTACCCGTACGCGGCGCGCTCTGATCAAACCAACTCTGTACACAGACTGTGTGAAACATGTGCCCACAAGCGCGGAACTTGACCACATCGTCTGAAAGAGGTTCAAGACATATCGTACATTCGGCACTATCGGCAAGAGGCTCCGCTGTAGTGTCAACGGCTGTCACCCCTGTCATGTAGAACTCTGGTTGGGATCGAAGAGAGGGCATGTAACTCCGAGGATGGCCAGGCTGATCTAACTGTTGAGTTGAGTTTAGCGGAGTACGTTGACCACGGGCTAGCGCCAGACGAGGCTCCAAAGTTGCCTCCGATACTCCAGTTCGTTCTCGAGAAGATATGTTTTCTCGCGGCGCGTCTGAATCAGATGTGGCAGCGGTTCGTTGTCGTTGTGTTGCAGCCATCATACTCATCCGTTGGTTCATGGAAATTTGGGTCGCCTCTTCAAGTTGATGAGGCGTCTCCAGAGGCGTCTGTATCCAAGGGCTTATACCGCGGACATTCTCAGATAAACGTTCTCTATTAACGAGCATGTGCCCGCTTCCTGGTCCATCTGCCAGCCTGATGGCTTGCGGCAGGTTGTCGTGATTAAGGTCGTTTGTAGAAGCCGTTCTCCGAAGCTGCACTGGCTCGCGCTCTTGACTCTCGTCGTCCTGGTTTCGCGAATCACTTCGGTCTTGCGGTTGAGTTGGCGGCGCCATAGTCGCAGTCAAGTTGAGTTGATTCGAATTGAGAGTGGGGTGTGGTGGATTGTCAGCGTTTGGCGAGAAAAAGAATAGTTAAGACAGTGGAGGGTGTTGCAAGTCAAACTGAGAGACAGTCGACTAGCGCCCTGTGCGACGGACATGCCAAGCGACGAATGAAGGAAGCAGAATATGAGGGAAAGACTAGGTCGCAAGGCGTGGATTTCCAGAGTTACCTAACCACAATACTCGTTAGTTCTATCATATCAGTCAGGTCTTCGCATATTATAGATCTTCAAGAGTGAGCGGGACATACCGTTGCGCAATCCGGCCTTCGTCATGGATGCACTCTTCTCCACATAGGCGCCGCCATTTACAAAGGTTGAAAAAAATAGTATATTCTTATACTCACAAAACCCCGCACATGAAACTCATATCACCATGCCCTAAACGCCGTTGAATGCATCCCCGTTTCTATCAGATCTTCCCTTTAGTCCCAGCTCTTCTTCTCCACTGACGGCGTCCCTAGCACACCAACGCCATCGCCTCTTCTCCGCCTCTTACCCATAACCTCACTTCCCCAGTCAAACATCTGCCATGCCCAGCTACCAGCCACCATAACTCCACTCACTACGTTGACCAGTCTGACAATCAACCTCCAGAAACCTCCCCACTCCTCTACCACAGCCAGCATAATCGGTTCGATATCAAACTTGACAAACACGCCGGGTACGTAGGTTTCCGGGACCTTGTGGGACTGGGAGGTAACGGCGTATTGGTTGGTCTTGATGGCGTGCGTGGTGTGGAAGATATTCGAGGCTGGATGGTCCTGTGTCGACGTGATGGCTTGGAGGAGAGGGATCATCGAGGCATCGTCGGTGTAGATGGTCGGGACAACGGAGATGTAGTATTGAAACTTGTAGAATTTATCGTCGGGTGTCGGTGTTACAGCGATAGTAGAATCGAGCGGATTAACGAGGGAGGGATAGTACGGGCCGAAGGACATTTCGCGGATGATGTGTGAAAAGTTGAATGCTGTTGATTGTTAGTGAAGGTATCATCGCAAGTCATAACTCCTTCAACTCACTAGAATGGTCCAGGTGCTCTCCAAACTCCATGTAACCATGGCCCCTAGCCGTGATATGAAAGTCACCTTGGACCTTGTTACCAATCAGACTTCCATAGATGCGACAACTATCAGTCTGTCCGCGCACCCGCGGTGTCTTGCTGAACTTCCTCTTGCGCGCCTTGCCCAGTTGATCGTGTACGTCCCAAAGCTCTTCCCATCCAGGCGCCTGTTTGCCTCCATCTTTACCCAACTCGTGCGTTCCACTCTCAATGTTCTTGCCAGTCCATTGCGACCAAGACGTTGGGTCTTTGCGCAGAAGTTCGCCAGCCAGGGTTCGGTCACCAGCAGCGTCTTGCATGTTCACATGAAGGTCGGCGCATCGCATGGCTACTATCACGTCGAGGTTTATTTGCATATCGTGGGATACGCCCTTCTCGACGGCGAATGACTGTGTGGTGGTGCCAGCGAACCAGCGCGATATCTCGGACCAGGAGAGGTAGATGCATGTCAGGATGAGCGTTACTGTCCATGCGGAGGAGTTGCGACCTTGGACGAGGTACGTCTTTTTGGTTTTGGCTATAGATACACGTTAGCCCCGGGCTCCTATCTTGAATGAAGCGTGGTATCGCATGCGTCTGAAAAGTCACGTAGCTGGAGATATTGAAGTATCAAGCCCATGATCCTACAAGTAAATCTGCTCTCCTTCTCGAAAGCTGTGCACAAGATAACACTTACGAAACGCATCGAAACTTGATACAATGCCGCCCTTGGATGGTCCGAATGGATCCTCCTCGTGCCCATGGTCCCCGTAACCGTTCATGGTAGCCACTCAAATGTGCAATCGGAGCACTGCAGACCCAATCTCGATTCGGTGAACTGTTAGGTAAAGGAAAGAAGCGCAGGTGGGTAAACGAACGACATTGACAGTTGGAGCTAATGCCGCGTCGCGAAAGGCCACCTTGAGGTGCTGCAACGGCCCGCGTCCGTGCCCGCGGAAGAGGCCCGATTTGGAACCCCCGCCATGTGCTGCTTTCACCTGAGTTTGTCGCACTCCCAAAACCACATTGACTTGGTTTGTAAATCATTATTTGTTCATTCATTAGGCTTCGTTACTATGTGGTACAGATATATCGGCATGCATCATCAACCCTCTACGCGTTGGCGTCTCCCAGGCTGCTGAACTTGCTGTCGCCGCCCTGGGCCATGTCATTCTTGTTGTCAACCGCAGCATTCGCTGCGTCCGTCTTCGCGAACTTGAGCTCCGCTTGCCTGGCAGGGTCGTCCTTTGTACCGACCTCGCCAAACTTTGTGTTGCCACTCAAGTTGTTATCCTCTGTCAAGTTGGCGCCCTTGGGTTGGAGAACGCTTGGGTCGACATTGGTGCCAGCAACACCAGTAGGTGCTACGCCAGCAGCGCCTCCTGATGAAGCTCCACCAGATGAGAGACCCTTGCCCGAGTTCATAATCTTCTCCTCATTCCATCCTTCTTGTGCGTCGCGTGCTTCGGCGTTGACGGCGGCGTCAAGCTTGGTGGCGTTGGATGTGTCGTGGGTGTTTGTGGTAGTTGAGGAAGAGGGCTGTTTGCTTGCTGCGGCCTTGGGGTTGCCCTCGCCAAAGGAGCCAGAGTTCTTCAGGGACTCGCCTGCTAGGGAGTCTGATGTTACGGTGCCAACAGCCTCATTGATGGCGTTTTTAGATGCAGGGTCGTTGGTGACCTAAGAGTGGTGCATTAGTGAGAGCTTCTTAGATTTATTGTAAGTCGGATGAGGTCATCATAAAACTGTAATGGACGGAGTATGAAAGCGCAAGACGTAAAGCATACCTTTTGTCCGTATGAAGTCGCCATGTTGATGTTATGTGTAGTTTCCTGAGTTGTGATTGTTGTGAGACGGAAGAAGCTGTGCTTGTTTGAGCGATATAAGTAGCTCAAGTTACAGTGCGGGCTGTCCTATGTATGCCCTCAACCTCATGCTCCAATATACTTGCGTCATGACCTCGTCACATTGAAGCATTCCACTTTACTTCAGCCCTACCAAAACGACCCCGCTCTGGTCGAATGACAGTAGGTCGGAAACCGGCAGAGGATCCGCTTATTCGCGTGCTAGACTTGGGCATGCGTGCATACTGCGGCTGCAATGGCGTGAGGAACGAGTGCTATTCGGCGAGACACCAATGATACACTTAGCACGCGAACACTTGCCATGATCGCATCTAGCGTCAAGATCAAGCTTAGCGCCTAGTATGACAGGATCAACCAAAGAGACGTCTTCGTCATGAAGGCATCACAGTACGGAGGATGTTGGAATTTGCATTTGTTCATTCGTTTCATTCATTGATTATCATAAGACTGCTCTTGCAGTTCGGCTACTAAACGCAGTGATAGCAACCATCATAATCGTGAAATCCTCCACTCCCATCATGCTTCGGGTATCTCATTACTCCTCCTTATACAGTACTCTACTGCTTGACGCCCGCGCTGGGGTCATTCTTCTGTGGGTATCCGTAGTCCTTGCCGGTTGTGTTGGCAAGACCAGAGTGGTCCTTGGCCTCGCGCGAGACAGCGTCGTTGGGGATACCATCAAGTCCGTCCTTAGCCTCGCGACCGGCGACACCGCCAGCGCCGACAGCGGGTTCACGGATGGCACCGCCACCGGAGGAGAACGAGGCTTCTTGGCCGCCGGAGCCAACGTTTACGGTTCTAGCATCAGAGGAGTTGAAGTCGGAAGCGACGGGTGGCTGCTCAGGGAGAGGGAGGTTGGACTGAGCCTCGTTGACAGCCTGGGTATTGCCCTTGATGTCGACAGTGGTGTTAGAGTAGCCTTGCTGAGAAGAAACCATTTTGAATATGTTTGTGTGCTGCGTATATGTTAGTGACTGGAAAACAGACGCGTGCATGCTGGTGGGTTACGAGTCTCGTGACGGGAAACGGCAAGTTCGAAGCTGTCCACTACACCATTTGGCGGAATTAAACTTACGTTGTTGGTATAGAAAGGGAGTTAAAGTCGTAGGGAATTTGGATTTGGTGTTGAAAATGTGATTGAAGTTGTGATTGTGATACTGGAAAGAAAAGAGTGTTCAGGCGCGTTGGACTTTTATTATGGTAGCGGGGAGCTGATGCCCCACCGATGACGTCGAATTGACGTAATTCTCCATCGAAGATTCATGTCAAACTCTGAACAGACCCTTCTCCCATCATCGCAGATCGGGTATGCTTCTGCAAATTCAGTTAGCGCCGTCTATGCTTCGGAAGGAGCGAGCCGCAAAGTGTCGCGTGTGGTGCTGGCAGAGTGGAGGCGTACCAGGTAGTGTCTCAGGCGTAAGCGACATCAACCTTGGTCAGAACTTCACAACTGCCAACCTCTTGCAATGAGCGAAGACGACACTCATTGACCCTATTCAGACGGTTTGGAATAATCATGTATTGTAAACTGCAGACAAGAGCTCATAATTAATACATCCCTCAATTTCAGTGCATTGTAGAGATCTTGTTCCAATCACAAACTCCAAATTCGTAGATAACACAGTCTCAAGAACGAAAAGCAAGTAGTAGAGAATTGACGAGAATGAGATGTGGAGCCCCATCATACGCTGTCGAAATTCCAAGGATCAAAGGCCTACATGGATTTCAGGGATATCCAGTGTTGCGCGGGTATTTCTCGGCTCCAGAAGTATCATCGACTGTTTAGATGATTCTCGCAACGGTAGCTGCTCATGGAATCGAGGCCCAGTTCCGCAGAAACCAATCTTGAAAGCGAGTTACCTGGATGTCTGGGTAGGCGGAGTTGAGGTAGGCGGGCACCACGAAATCGTAGCGCCCCTCTGCTGTCGCAAGGAGGGGTGCGAGTCGCCTCTGCCCGGCTGTGTCTCCTCCCAATTGCGCCATCGTCATCTGGTATTCAAGATCTGTATCTTTGGTTAGTGATTGTATAGGTTTGTTCAAGACTGTTTGCATACTTGCAGGGGCTTGATAATCAATGCTAGCCCATGGCCGGTCTGACGATGTGTTAGCAAGCTGTATCCTCTAACCAAAATTAAGTATACTTACTTCTACACGCCCTGATGGTTTCGACCAAAGTATGAACAGTCATGCGCTCACCGCACATGCTCATCTCGGAGGGCCAAGTGGGCATGTCGAGGGCACGAACCACAAATTGTGCCACATCGTATGCGGAGGTCAAGCATATCGATGAGAGATTATTAGCTGCATCATAGATTGGCGCCATGGAAGTCATTTGCCGGGGGTCGGCAATGAACTCTCCCTCGTTGCCATATCCGCTGTTGACCCCGAGGCGATGAGACATCATCCCGTTTACGGAGAAGCGCTCATAAAGTATGCCACAAACGAAGACCGTATACTGTATGTGGCCCCGGTAATGATACAGCAAGGCCAACGCTGAGTTGCGTCCCCGATCGAGCAGCGTGTTCTGGCCTCGCAGACCCGGCTGACCTTCAAACTCTGCAGGTGCAAAGCGGCGTACCCGGCACTGTACAGCCGCTTCTATAAGGCGAAGTTGTGGATTGCCCATGACCGTCGAGATGACTGTGTCAACGCCCATCAACGCATGCTGGAGGGAAGCGGGGTTGTTGTAGTCGACGGCTTGACAGTTATAGCCAGACGCTATGAGGCTTGTTTGATGCTGATCAGTTTTAGTGTGACTTTTCAGAACTGAAGAATAGTGTCACCCCTTGGGGGCACTTACAGTCCGCGACAGGATGATCAGCTGGTGGCTTGTCGTGTTGTTGATCTCCTGAGCGATCAAGAGTGCTAGGCCCGACGTACCTGTATATGTAAGAAGGGTGTCTGTACAAATGATGTACTTGCTTGTCAAATGGCTGTTTTTACCTGCTACTGCAATGCGCATATTGCTGGACATTGCTTCTCCGAAACTTATCCAGTCGTATGAGAATTTTGGGGGATATGGGCTTATGACTTCAACTTCGCATCTTCTGTTCCACAAAGCTTAGACGTATGTTGGGCTGCAAAATTGGGCCCATCAACACCCTCATTACTACGATATAGAGGTCCGTGACTCACAAACGGGAGCATTGGATTAGTGAAGACGGTGAGTGGAACGCGCAGACCATGGTGGCCGGCCTAAAATCTTCCAATAATGCTGGGAGGCGACGCTTATTGGGACATCGCTTACAACACAGACCTATGTGGAAGTGACGTTACCAATGAACATGTTTTGGAGCGTAAAGTAACAGACGCAAAGCCTGTTGTGTCAAGGAACCTCCTCAAGTCTGGTTTAGTGCTAGCATGGCGGGAGAACGACTGCCACCGTCTTCTGTAACGTTCAAGGATGTTCGGAGGTAGGCGTGACAAGATGTTGAAGGGCTAACAGCGAACTTCTTAGTCTCTTGGGAACAGTTGCCTGCTTTCAACGCCTCTTCCGCTGGAACGCTGGTTGCTAACCGAGATAAAGGGGCCGATTCGCTGGTCTGATGTGTATGAAGGTTTCTGTGACTCTTGGCTGAACATGTGATACAGTGGAAGAGACAGCACACTTGTCGTGGACGTGGGATATATGCCGGAAAGAGAGGAATAGAAGCCTAAGCCCTGCATCCCACCAAAGGCTTAGAGATGAGATCGATGAAGTAAAGCTCTGGCCTCGGCGAATGAAAGTCAGGCGAGCGTCGAGACCGTGCGTAGTGATGTCCTGCAACCATGCCACTAGGAAGGGAACTCCAGCCAATTAGGGTGTTGGTTCAACGTTCAGCCATGGCCCACGTCCCGGTAGGGGAGAGGCGGATCGTATCGTACGAAGGAATCCCAACTCCTGGAATTCTCACAGCGGAAGCGGAGTCTACCTGCGAAAGTGGGCCCGTAGGGCTAGCCCTACATCACGACACGACCGCATCTCTGGCCAGACTGCAGTTTCTCGGGTGCGAATGCCTCGTGCGAGGCTCTCAGTGCAGTAGCTTGGCTACACAAATGAGAATCTAGCGGCCGGATAGAGTTGCTTTACACGGCTACAAGAGCGACACACCGTTGATAGCTAGAATTTGGGTAGGGGAGGCCTCCACCAATCGTTCATCGTAGCAGAGGGCCAGGAGTTAACGGGGAGATGACGAGATAGGGAAATGGGGCCAAAACCGGTGAGGCTCAAGGGTGGCATAAGCGCCACAGGAACCAGGTTAGAGTCCTCGTCGCTAAAGGCGTGAGCACTGGATCTCCAGAGGTGCCGTATATGTCACGTGAATGTTGGATAGTAAGCTGTCTTGCGAATGTTTTCTGTCAGCTTCGAGTCCGAGGTATGTAGTTCTACATATCGCCCTAGACGCAGATATTGTCGGCAAGTATTGTATAAGGCAGAAGGGTACCGATGAGTCTTTACGCAAGAGAAACGTGCCTCTAGGTTACGAATAAGTCCGACTCTTACACTAAACCCTATTGCCTTGTATGAACGTCTTCACCGGTGGATGTGGGGTAGCGGGAAAATCGAACAATGAGCGTGGAAACAGACAAAAGTGTATGCAAAAGGTCAGATGCTAAGAGGGAAGAGTGAGTACGCGCATCTGCGGGAATAGAGATGGAATGGTGGTTAAGCATCATGCAGTGCATCTTACGGTGAGCGTTGCCGCCAAGGGTATTAGACTGCAGGCCGGACCTAGACGGTCGTTGGGTAGCGTGTGGTTGCCTAAATTGCAGTCGCAATGATGCGTGGAGGCCATCGGAGGATACCGATGATAGAGAGTTTGTGAAGAAGTGTCTACGGGACTAGCAGCGTGAAGTGTTTGACTCGCGTTTCGCGGATATGGCGGGCACGACCGAAAGTGTTAGCGCGTCACGTGCTGACGCGTTTCACCGCGTTCGTTTTGAGTGTTAGCTGCTTCGGCCCAACGCGCTTGAAAATAGACAATATCATTCCATCGCGTCTCGTTCGCGTTTACATCACGCATGGACGCAGTTGATCATTGAAAAGGGGTCGCAATCTACAGCGAACAGATGCAACCGCAGGAATATGCCGTGTAACTATTTCTGCACATACGCGTTCCTTGAGTGGACTCCAAATAGGACTGAAAGTGTTGGAAAAGCAAAACACATAATTGTCGTCCCGCTTTCGCGTAGTTCTAACCAAGACGCCGATGAACCACGAGAAATACGAACGAACTCGCAAGAACCACGCGTTTTTGCCAGTTACGCTTCGGTCCGATGCGAAGGAATATATTATTTCCTCAACCGCATGATGCTCATGCATATGTGACGATCTACAGTATGGATAGTGGCAGATATGAGGCTGGTGTGGTTGTGTGCACAGACGACAAGTTCAGGCAAGTGGTATGCACGACATAGGCAAGCGCCCGGCTCGGACCAATCTGATACGTACGCGACTGAAGACGCGCCTCGCACACTACTTTCCTGCCACCATATTGAACGCGTTACTCTTCCTACTATAACATTCATTCTCATGGTAGTTCTTCTTTGATTACACAAAGTTCAATTACCAACACTCGTTGTTGTCGTCCCATCATGTCCGCCTCATCGCCCCTGCCATCGTTCTCGTCACCTGCGTCATCGCGTCTTCCCACTGTCAGACGCGCCAGTTTTAGTGGTCAATTGGCTTTTCTCGTGCATTCACAGGAAACTGTCGCAAACCATATGCCACCAGATGTTGACAACAAAGCTCTCGCTCGCCAAAAGAGAAGACGCACCAGGTATGCTTCAATTCCGTTCAAGTTCTGCCCTTCCATCGCATCCGTGTCGACCCATGTTCAACGCGTTGGTTCGTGCTCAACCTACCATCGGGAACTACTTCGGCCTACCCCGCGGGCAAGCGACACTCCAACACCCCATCAGCGCTGACCACGACATCCTGCAGCAAGGAAGACGAAGACGTACTAAAATCGGAATATTTCAAGAATCCGAAGCCAGACAAGGCGGCACGTCTCGAAATTGTTCGCAAAGTCGCGCTTGGCGAGAAGGAAGTTCAGGTAAGACGCCAATATTGCTCCACGTCACGAGTGTGCGCGCCCCTGCTAACATCGCGTCCTAGATTTGGTTTCAAAGTAAGTAATACCGTCTGCTATACGCGTCGTTGCTGTTTGCTTTTCATCCGACTTTTATTGGATCCCCCGACATGTCGCGCGTGGCTCAATGTACGCATGATTTTCGAAACACGTTCTGATCGCGCTCTGCTTTAGATAAACGCCAAAACGACCGCCGTCGCTCACGGCCTCTCGAACCATCTTCTACGGCATCGCTGATGTCTTCTTCTTCCACCATGTCGGACCCGCCCACCGAGGACGAGACGGTAGCCATAGCGCGCAATATCGATAACGCGCCGGAGCCGAAAGAGTCGGACGAGTGCCCGAAGTCCGACCCACCAGAGCAGCCCGCAACTCCAGAGCTCACCTCAGATGAGACCATCCCAGAACCACGCACCATCGACACTGCTATTTCCGCGCTCGCACCAGAAAGCACACATGAAGCAGTCGTAGAACCATCGACCGAAACCCAAAGTACAGAAAATGCCTCCGCTGAAGTAAGCAACTCGCAGCAGGCTGCACCATCTTCACATGGTGCCGCGCAACAACGAACTTCATGGATCTCCAACCGTCGCAGCGCATCGTTCGTCCGATATCTCGAAGATTATGCGCCCGAAGTTATCACGTTTCCGAACCCTCCTCCCAGACCTTCGGTATCACCCGACAATGCAACAAAGACCCCGTCCCGACCACTGAAGCGCAAGCATTCCTTTGTGCGAATATCGACCAATGAGGATGGCACAGCACGTATCGTCACCGATCTTGACAAAACCCCATCGCCGCCTAAATCAAAAAAGACTCCGTCTTCCTTTTCTCGTGCTGCTGCTGGCCTGCGACGGAGCTACAGTGCAGCTGGTTTGAATGACCGCCTAGCCGCTGCCGCCCGAGGTGAGCCGAGCCCAAAGGTACCAAGGACGACATCGAACATAGGAAGGAGCAGGGATTCGCGCGCGTGGGAGTTCTGGTGTGATCCAGAGAGCCGATCAACAACCAGCCTGACAACGCGTGCGGAACAAGAGGAGAGTGGCAGCGCAGCTGACGCGATTGGAATACTACGCGCGAACCGAAGGATATTAGCCCAGAATCAGGCTCGCCAGAATAGCAGTCCGCTGATGGCACGCCACAGCTCGCACAAAGTACAGGGCAGTCCGCTCGTCAAGAAGTCCCGTGGTGCAATGCAACGCGCCTCGACTATCAACGGCCGCTTTTCCAACAATGACTATACCGACTACAAGAAGGGTGATGAGAGTACAGAGTCGGATGACTTCCCGCAAACCGAAAGCGACAAGGAGAACTGGGAGCCCGACGCGCCAAAGTCGTCTGTGCGACGGGACCGTCAGGTCGCCGCTACGCCTCCTGCTTCCCGGACAGCTCGTCGGATACTGGGAGAAAACACGGACCTAATGTCACAGACGTCAAGTCTTGGTGCGATGTTAGCCAAAGACAAGCGGAAAGGCGGCAAGAGTATTGTAGACCCCGAGCAGGACGATGAGCTGCGGGAGTTTATGCATGGTGACGACGCGAGTGGTCGTTCAAGCATAAACTCAGCAGAAGAGGCAGGGTGTGTGGAGGGCCTGCTGAAGCTAAGCCAGGGTCAGTGGAGGTGATCAGAGCGCCGAATGGTCGCATACATTCTTAACGCATTCTAACGATGGGTTGGCGCAACATTGGTTTCTGACTCTTCATCTCTATCATTGCGTTTCAGCGTCACAGCGTTTGTATTGACGTGGTCTGGACTCGGAAAGGCCCATCACTATGGCTAAAGGTGTTCGGGGTATAGGTATCTAGTGTTGCATGTCAACAAGTCAGTATTATTCTGTCAAGCTTCCGCAAGGTCAAGCGACTTTCTGAAATCAAAGTCATAACATTCTTCAACTCTCCTTTCTCCATGCCATGCTTCCTCCGACGTCGAGTGCTTGTGATGAAGTCGTGTCGTAGCGTATGAAGGAGACATATAGGCGCTGCGTAACCGTTGATCGTCTTGGTAAATACATGTAGTCGTGATATTGTCTTGACACTCAACCTCTGTTGAACAACCCTCCTGTGGCTTCAGTATTTCATCACTGGGTTGTAAATGTTGATTAGAGTTGCGACGAAAGCATGTGTTGAGCAGTCGATTGTGCAAGAAAACCCATGTGCATAAAGCAGAACCATGAAAGGAGATGAGTGAAATCTACAAAAGAGGTACGGATCAAGGAAAAGTGTCACCAGCCGTGGGTCGGTGGTCTCGGTAATTCACTAGCATACTCAGCTCTGTCACCCGCTCTACAATTGGGGTCTGTACACTTCCGGTGCTTGCACTTCTGGTCCTTGCTGTCGCGGTTGCAGACGACATAAACCCTGACGTTCCTGAGCGCTTTCGTCACACCCTGCATTGTTCCGCCGAATGGGTCCGCGGCCATTCTCCATAACTTGAGTGACCGGCAGAGGTCTCCAGAATGCGCTGTTGGCTGGACTGGCGTTCAGGAGGATGTTTCCATAGTCGGATGTACTCTGTAGGAATATTCGCGCAAAGCTCTAAGCGGAGCAATATCGTCCTGTCCAAGCGTTCTCAGGTCTCAAAAAGCATCACGAACATAGCACTTGTGATTGTTGAGATGCAAGGTGTTGCTGTTCGTAATGCATTTGGCCATGATAATATTGAGCGCATTTTCTGTTGGACTGGGATGGTAGGCCATAGGATCATTGTTCGTTGTTTCTGCGTAAGATTTTAAGCCAGCAATATCAATTTGCCATGAATAGTAGAAGTTCAGATGCGCGGTAGTGTTTCGGTCAATGATATCCACTAGTCTCCATTCACCCCCAGTACCAGTGACCGGCTTGTTGGCCACAACCTGTACACCGGTTGCATGCTCATGTAGATCTACCCAAGAGATGATTGTGCTGGCGTTGTCAGTGGCGAACGAACCATAATTCTGGCTAAGAGAGGGTACGTTCTGAATGGCCGTCTCCATTTAACGCTTCTTACCGGCTCATGATTCGGATGCCGGTATGCCTGTGATTCGATATTCGTAGAAGGTTGCGTTTGAATCGATGGTCATCTGGAAATCGTTCGTGATCACTGTGTCCCATTTCCGTCCCATACGGAGCAATGTTTTGAGAGGATATTTCGAGGTATCTTTCAGATGGGAAAGCTTTTCGGCCAGTTTACTGTCCACGGGAACTGAATTACCATCTTTGGGATCGGAAGCTCTTGAAGCTGGGTTGAAGCGTGCGACCTCCCCGAAGTCGATCACAGGAGCGTCACGAAGATTGAAATTTGAGGCGGCAGAAGCGGCAGGACCTTGCCCAGAGGCACTAGACTGAGCGATAATGACCGTTTGATCAACTTCCTTGCTTGCCTGAGATGCAGCATCCCTGTATTCTCCCGACTGAAGATCGGTGCTGATTCGGCTGGCGAGATCTGTTTTATTCGCATCATCCGGTACAGTCTCCTCGTTGGATACTTCGGTCGTCTCCGAGGCACCGCCCTCGTTGTCGGTGGGTGTGCTGAGAATACCGGGGATGGTTGTGGTTGTTACATCAGTTCCCGGATCTTGTGGTTGAGCATCAGAACCGGCATGAGTCGCACCGGGATTTTCTGTCGAAGTTTCTGGTTCAGTTATCGCAGTGACTTTCGGTTGCTTGAGACCGTTGGGGCTGTCCACTTTGTATTGTTCAAACAGTATGTTAGCAGCTTTCTTCTTGGCCTTGTCTATGGTGGCCCAGCGCTTGGCTTTCGCAGCGGAACTCCCAAGAAAGCTCGTCATGTTGTTCTGGATCTGCTCGTTCTCTCTCTTCCTGAGTGCTGGAGGAGCTTTGCCTTTAGCCACCCTGAAGTGAGTAATGCTCGATGATGGTAACACTCGGTCGACTCCAAGCCCGCTATTATACTGTATTTTGACCTTGTTTGGTTTGTTTCGAACGTGTCTCATTGCTTGCCTACATACAAAGACAAGCCGGTGCAATCAAGTTTGGGCCATGACGTCTGAAAGACAAGTGATATTTCAAGCCAAGCTATGGATAGCGATTCAATGTTATGCAAACGTAGAGGGCCAGGATTGCGAGCTAGTAAAGCGGATTTTGCGTCGTAGAGCATCAAGTGTACCAAACACCCTCGTAATAATCGTCAAACTCATGGTCATGTACCTCACAATCTCACGATTAGCAATGGTTCAGCGATGAACGGCCTCCGCTTTGAGAGCGTGACTTCTTTGATGCAGCAAAATTCCAGGGCAGACAGGAAGCATGATAATACGTAGTCAAAACACGGAGGAATCAGTTGAATTCGCTTGCGCTACAAACAGAGAGCCAGCCAGCCACCCAGCTTGGATACAAAGATCTAGAATTTGCACAATCCATGATGTGTACAAACCAACAAAAAAGGTTGCCCCCAAAAGACCATTACATCCGAATGGCCCAGAAATTAGAAGATTACAAGGCGATAAAAAGTGTGACATTAAGTTTATAGATGGGAAAACCGGGTATATGCAGGAAGAGCCAGAGCAGATGGTGTGGAGTGCATGCAAGTCGTTCAGGTATCGGAGGAGAAGGGGAGGCGCAACCGGGAAGCAGACGTCTATTTGGCACCTGGTGGCAGCTTGACGTTGTTGGAGAGCCAGGCCTGGTGAGTGTTAGTTGACGGAGGCGCAAATTGTTTCGAGGGCAATTGAACATACCAGTCCCTCGAAGATGCCCTCTCCTGTTGTCGCGCAGCTGGGCTCAACCTTCCATACGTGGTCTTTGGCGATCTTGTCTAATTGCAGAAGGTCTGAGACTTCCTTTGGTCGCATGGCTGTGCGAAGTTAGCGCAATGTGCTTCAAGGCTGATTTGAACATGTACGCACCTCCGCTGAGATCCTGCTTGTTGGCGAATACCAGCAACAAGGCATCCTTCATTTCTCTATCTTGGATGATCCTTGTGAGTTCCGTCTTGGCCTCGTCGATACGGGTGCGGTCATTGGAGTCGATGACGAAAATGAGACCTTGGGTACCTGGGGTCACGATCAGCACGTCGTTGGATTAGGAGACATGGTAGAGGGTCGGATGGGGTAGGGAGGCCATGCGCCGTGCAGTCGCGTGCACACATGTCAACTCGCCTACCCGGAACCGTGCCCCCACGCCCCAACATACCAGAGAAGTAATGTCTCCATAGCGGACGGATCTTGTCCTGGCCGCCGACATCCCAGACGTTGAACTTGGTGTTCTTGTATGTGACGGTCTCGACGTTGAAGCCGACGGTCGGGATGGTGGTTACGTCTTGGTCAAGCTTGAGCTTGTACAGGATAGCTGCGGCGGGTTAGCGATTGTATATGTGGTTGAGGAGTAATGCTGGTGGCATACTGGTCTTTCCGGCGGCGTCGAGGCCCAGCATCAACAGGCGCATCTCCTTGGATCCGAAGACCTTGGCCATCATCTTGGATATGGACGCTCCCATGATGTCGGCTATTCGCTATACTTTGCTGGGATGAGGATCCAAGCTTCCAACACTTGCGGGTTGTCGTGGAGAGTAGGCGGTATGTCGGCGATAGCGAGCTGTAGCTAATGCGCGATTGGGTGCGAGTACAGGAGACGGCGGTGGGTCGTGGGATAAGGTGAGGTTGGTGAGGTTTGTGGGAGAAGGTGTGAAGATGTACAAGGACGGCAAGGAGAATATCAGTAGCGACTCGGGTCAGGGTCTCGCGTGGGCGCTGGCGTTATTCTCGAAATGAGGTTTCAAGCTGCTCAGGAGTGAAACCGCAGCAGGCGCGCTGCAGATCCCAGCAACCAGACGTCTGTGCGCGCCCAACGGCTTGATCGTGACAGGTTCATCCTACACGCCATCCACACCACCACCTCTCCTGCTTTTGCCAGACAGAAAAGGGGCCCGACGTCTACAGCCTTTGATTGCGAATCTTGGATAAGATGAAGCAATGGGACTCCGCATGCGTTACTCGCTGCGTGTACATGCGTGCAAGCTGCAGGAAATCTGCAGCTAGACATGATAGTATACTTCAGGGCTCCATTCCGTGTCACTTTGCCGCCGCCGTTCGAATCAACACATGCCGGCAAACGCAGGCATGCAGGTACGCGGCGCTACTCCTGAGATTGATGAAGCCGTCCTCGCCGTTCGCATGGAACTCATAGTCGTTCGCCATGCATATTGTCTGTACACGGCGGCGTTACCGTGACGTATCCCGATCTTCCCGTCCTACTAGCACTCCTTGGGTCTTTAGTCTCTGCTATAACCGAGTCAATATCGTCAAGGCCTGAGATGTCGGGCGAAGTAACCCGAACCACAAAGTTTCTCCCTGACTTGTCATTGAGGTCTTCCCTGGTGTTCCATCCAACTGCCTGAGCATTACCGAACTTCGTTAATCGTCGGTCCGCGTAAGCAAAATATTCCGTTGCAAGGCCCGTACAATACCCGCGCGAGGTTGGCATCTTACATCATGACGTGTTACACGGTGCGGAAGAAGGGTCAAAAGAAGCATATCTACCGAGCATGAGGGATTACTGAATCGGGGACAAACCCTGACGCCAAGCCTAAAGAAAATGCGAAAAGCACTACGCTCAGCTGGAAAGAACGGTACTTCCGAAAAGGAAGGTGTTTGAAAGTCTTAGGTGATACGTAAGCTATTCGCTTCTATTCTTGGAATACGTTGTCAACTCTAGGACTATTCAATTCTCTCTCATGTAATGTTTTTTTCTCCATACTAGGTATCGCAATATGCATCTCTACCCTACAACTGCCTACGCCCAACCAATGCATGCAACAACCCCACCATATCTTGAAACCCTCTAAAACCCATCGTCAACACCCTTGCTCTTCTCTGCCTCCCGCCTCTCATTATTGACAGTCCACCACCACTCATGTATCTCCTGACTGCACTTGCCAGCCTCTTCATCCCACGGCTTCGGACTCAGGATGTAATGCACATTCTTAACCTCTTCGTCCCTCCAAATTGCATCATGGACGCCCTTTGACCGCAGAGTCTTCAGCGCATTGTAGGTATAAGGTAGCGTGACCCAGCGACCGTTGAACAAATCGCCAAGTAGCGATTGGTCGGCGAAATCGTAGTTCATTGATGTCTCGTTCGAGAGCTGCTCGAGGATGAGATTGTAGGTAGCGAGCGAAGGGTTTACGACTTGGAGGCCGCCGTTGGGCATGCAGAGACCAGCTGTCGGGGGTGCGCCGGTGCGTTGTGCAGCAGCGGGGTCGGAATGTTGGGATGTAAATGCGCAGTTCTCTGGTATCCTGAGTTTTAGGTTAGTTGCATGACGCGTAGACATAGAAATAAAGTAGACGTACCAGTCCTTGGGGTAATGTGGCTTCTTGAGCGGATTGCACACGCACGCATGGCTCGCAGCAAACACCCTGTCGCCCTTGCCGCCCGTACTCGGCGCATCCAACTCCAAGTCCATCAGCTCATCCATGTTCTTCAAAACCAACATGTCGCTGTCTAGTTGCACCACTCGGTCATATTCCTCCAGCGAAAAGGGCGTCAGCTTGCTCCAGCAATCGTAGAACCGCGGGTCGTTGGTGAAGTCCTTCTGGATCTTTGGCAGCAGGTACTTGACATGTTGCTTTGGTATGCCACGCTCATCAAGCGCCTTGTGGCCCTCTGCGGGGAAGGTATCGGTGTAGAGAGCAATGAGAGGGTACTTCGAGCCGTGCTTCTTGAGAGAGTAATCGAGTGTGAGAAGACCGGTAAGGTATGCCGTGTTGGTAATCAGAGTCGTCCATACTGCACTGACATTAGCATTTGCTCTCCTAACGCGCCCCGCCGAACTTGCAACATACCTTTCTTCGACTCTACACCCGCCGGCTTCGTGGTCGCACTTGTAGTTGCCTGCATGTTGCTTATATGTATATCGATCCCGTCGCGCGCCAACAAGGTATCACACAATATCCGCAGTTAGTAAAAGGAACAGTGTATTAGCAGAAGGATCAAATCGCGCCATCTTCGGTCGCATATTATGGCGTTTGTCAATAGAGGGGTCGAGCAACAACGCGCTAATCTATGAATGAACTATCGTACCAATCTAGGAACCAATCTGGACCCTGGAAAAAAACCACTAAAACGTGTTCGGAGGTCCGAACGATCTTCGCTTCCCTGTCGACATCGTCACCACATGCTGCATCGCGGGCGCTATCACGTTTCCGATATGCACGTCTACTGACCGCTGCTGACAATTCCTACCAAAATAATGGTTTCGTCGTGTTAACTACTCATCATCTTCTTCTTCATTTGTATTGTTCTCGTCTTGTATCGTGTTGATTGCTTTTTCCTGGACTAGAGGCATGATTCCGATATCGTGTTGGAGAACAGCGACGCGACAATGGCTTCATCAGCCCTGAACCTGAAATCCGGCGACTCAAAGCCAGCGGCCACTGCGCTGATAGCTACGTCTGATGAGCCGAACAAATCGCCCAAACACTATCGCGGCTTTGTCGCTGGTGTCTTTAGTGGCATTGCGAAGTTGTCTGGTAGGCATTCCTGTCCTCGATATATACCTTGAACATGGCTAACAAGGATAGTTGGACATCCATTCGATACCGTAAAAGTCCGCCTACAGACGACTGAGAAATCGCATTTCCGAGGCCCAGTAGACTGTCTGATGCAGACGTTGAGGAAGGAGGGGTTCGCGGGGTTGTACAAGGGTGCTACACCACCGCTGGTAGGATGGATGTTCATGGACTCGATGTATGTCGACATCTACTTCCTACCCACCAACACGTTCCTTTGTGCTAACATCGCAAAGTATGCTAGGATCACTAAGCGTATACCGCCGCGTCCTCAACGACCGAGTCTTCAATCCTCCTTCCCACCTCCGATTCGGCGAACAGCAGAGTAAACTGCCCGTGTACGGCCACGCATTAGCAGGCACAATGGCAGGATGGACAGTGTCCTTTATCGCTGCGCCGGTCGAGCACATCAAGGCACGCCTCCAAGTGCAATATGCTGCTGACAAGAGCGCGCGTCTATACTCCGGACCCATCGACTGCCTGAAGAAGATATACACCGGTCATGGACTGAGAGGAGTGTACCATGGTCTCAGCGCGACGCTCCTCTTCCGCACCTTCTTCTGCTTCTGGTGGGGAACCTATGACCTCTTCACACGCCAACTACAACAACATACCGCCCTCTCAGCACCAGCCGTCAACTTCTGGGCTGGAGGCTTGTCAGCACAAATATTTTGGCTGACCAGCTATCCGAGTGATGTGATAAAGCAGCGCATCATGACAGATCCGCTCGCACAGCGAAGATTTCCAAGGTGGAGAGATGCGGCGAAAGCGGTCTACAGGGAGCAAGGCTGGAAAGGCTACTGGCGAGGTTTCGTGCCATGCTTCCTAAGAGCGTTTCCAGCGAACGCCATGGCATTAGTGGCATTTGAGGGTGTCATGAGGAGTCTGCCGGAATAAAGCAATGTATTCACTCAGGCTTTCATTCCTTTAACGTCTTGGAATTAACGACAGCATAGCATTGTGATACCACTTGTAGATGATAGATGTATTATCTTATCGAATCTCATCTGACAAAAAGATATTTTCATCTTGTCATCATCTCATGAAGTCGTTGTCGTAGCATGTTGTCGTATACCTCATAATTTGCCTTTGCCGTCTCCGAGCTCGCAGAACGCCTTGAATGTTACCAGGCCTTCTGCACCCTCTTCATCTTCAGCATCCACGTCACTCTTGATGACAACCTCGGCTGTAGCGCCAACAAAGTAGACGAAGCCTTCCTTCAGCTCTTCCTCCTTGGGTCCCACGCTGATCGTTCCCTTGCCCTTGGTGCAGAGGATGATGCTTGGTCCATCAATCGGATCAAACGTTGCCTTGCCACCAGTACGGTTGAGAGCCGTTCGCACCACAGCAAACTCAGGAATCGGTGGGTTGTACAGCTTGTTGCTGCTGTTGGAACTATACGCAGGTGCATTCAGCCGAACGTGTGAGTAGTCCTTGGGCTCCATCTTTTGCTCGCTGATGGGCGCATAGCTGTACGTCAACATCTTTGTCAGATTGTCCACATCCTTGAATTTGGGTGTGAATCCTGCGCGGACAACGTTGTCGGAGCTGGCCATGCACTCGATGATATCGCCAGAGAGGTAGGCGTGGATGTCATCAGCCTTGAGGAACATAGCCTCGCCGATATCAAGCTTCACGTAGTTGAGGAAGAACTGAACGAATAGACCGATATCGCTGGGGAACTGAGAGTTGAGGCGGACGACAAGGTCTGCGAGCTCTTTGCCGTCGTTGGAGGGTGGGCCACCGTCCGCGAACTTCTCGCCCTCAGACTTAGCTGCCTCAACAAGCTCTTCACTGGCAGATGATAGTGCGTCCTTGTCTGTGTTCATGAGCTTTGTGAAGATGGATTGTAGAGCCTTCTTGTTTTCCTGCATATCCTCCTCCTTGTCTGAAGTTTCCTTGCCGCTGATGGTATCCTCGAACTTCTTAGCTTCTTCTTCGCCGACCAGCTTGCGCAATGAAGGAACAGTCTTCAGGAAGTGGGCGATTTCAGCGAGGGGTCGGAAGCCGCAGAGGCCGTCGAAGGGAGTGACCGCGATGGTCATTTCAGGCTTGTGGTTGTCATCTAACGAGATATGAGTATTTCCATTTGAGGTTTTTGGCGGTGAAGCTGACCTGGGTAGTTCTTTGGATCACTTGCATGTAGCTGTTCGGCGAGCTTCTTGTTTGGATGTGCCTGGATGCTCAGGGCCTTGTTGATGGATAAGACCTTGAACAGGAAGGGGAGCTTATTCTCATAGCGCTCAGCGATCTCTGTAGAGAGCAGAGCCTGGTTTTCTTGGACGAGGTCCAAAAGTGTTCGCTGGGTCTCGAGGTCTTTGGAAGGAAGCGACGGGTGCGTGCCCATCCATAGCTGGGAATGTCAACGACGCGTCAATCGCAGATCCATGTTCCGTACCTCGGCGTATGGTTTCTCCTCTTCAATCGAGAAGTCTGAAGCTGTCGCAGCGTGGAACTTGGCTGCTGCGGAGTCTTTGCCGACTTTCCCTGGGTTGGTTCAGCATACCGCTGGCGCGAATGTGGGTGATGACGCGGGGCAGCGTACCCCAGTCGTAGCTGTTTACACCTGCGAACGGTCAATTGATGTTCTCTTCCCTATCTCTGTTCCCGCTTTTACTTACCGCATTCTAGTCTGATAAGAGGGTTCCGCATCTTGAAGCCGGTTTCGGTGGAATGTAGATGTTGTGTAGGTATGGTGTCGCTGCGATTTGGCGAAGGAGCTCTCGGCGGGGTCCACTTGTTTGGTCCCGCATAATCGTCATCCTTGCTGTTCGATTAAGCTCATGTCCGCTGCTAGCGTATCCTACCCTGCATCCAGCGGACTACATGCTCCGAGGTTGATCATCTGCAGCTGCTTCTCTTCCCTCTACCTCACTTCGCCACTCTCGCGCCAACACATGAGCTACCTGCAGCGCTTCAGGTAACACGGAAAGAGCTGGGGAGTTGACGGGCCACAACTTCCGTCAGGATGGCAGCCCGCAGCAGGCCTCGTGGTCAGTTGAAGGAAGAGTTCGATGAGGAAAGGGTTATCTGGAACTCGATCAAAACTGACGGACGACGCGTTGATCAACTCATGGTACGGGACATATTTTCTTGATCATCGTTAGCATTGCAATCAACATCTCTACCTTCACCGCCATCACTTGCTCACTATGAGCGAAGTACCGCCGAATCTTCGTGATTTCGAAGGGTACGTGGGCCACGACCGAGCTGCCCAAGAAGACCCAAAGGAGCGGGGCATCTGGCAAGGCATTCAAGCGCGGTGCAGGCGTATCGACGAGTGCATTGTATGGTGTACAACTCCAAGTCCCATCGCATGATTTACTCTGTTTTTGACTACACAAAGGTTTGCTCCTTTGCTGACATACCGCAGAAAGAGTCTGATGCTTTGCAAGAGAAGATCTCCGCTCTTGTCGCAGAACAATCTGCACGTATCGGTTCGTCAACATTTCACCGACTAATATCTATATGTTGTGGAGCTAACACTGTTAGATCGTGGCGAAGAAACCTCAGCCCGCATTGATGACGAGCTCGAAGATCTTCTGCGCGACAACATCCGTAACCTTAACGAGGCGCAAACCCTTCTGCAACCTGTCGAAGGCGGCAATGACGTCCACACCCAGATGACGTTACTGGCCGCCCTCCGCATGTCGGAAGAGGCCCCACCTTCAGCATCACGAGCCACCAGCGTTGGGCATGGAAAGTCTGGACGCGACCGCCAAGGCAAGCGAAAGCTGACCGATAGCATCGATGACCGCGACAGCATGGCTGCGGACAGTCCTGGAGGCCCTAGCCCAAAGGTCGTTATCAGCAGCCAAAAAGATCGACTGGTAGCCAAGTCGGGCAGTAGCAGAGCAGGATCGGTACCTGTTGCGAGAGAAGGCAGCGTGAAGATGGACGAGGACGATTCGGGTAAGGGTAAGATGGTTCTTCCTCCTTCCAAAACCAAGCCCACGATCAAGTACAAGACTAAGCGTTGAGCTGTCCCTCGCTATCGGCGTTCTTCTTAGACGGCAGATGATACCCACTCTGGCATATTTCCTTTCGGCTTGTTCGAGGTTTGTAGTCGGATAGGCAAGCTCATAATCTCACTTTATCTGATCTCATACGTCGTTTTTCAAGTGCTCATGCCACATGTATTATCCTTCCTATCATAGCGCCCACTTCACATTCACGTCTATCATCCCATCTCCCTTCAGATATCACGTCAGCTGACGAAAACACTACAGAAGTCCGACCGCGTCTATCACCGCAAACAGAAGTTCTCTACCGAAACAACGCGAAGAACCGCTCTTCATCGTCCTCCATGTCATTCGAAGGTGAAGGCATCCTCTGCCGCGTAACATCGGTAATCGGCGAAGGAAAGCAACGCCGGTACGAAATTATCGATGCTGATCCGGATCCTCCGACACCATCGGTACCATACCGGGCTTCTGTAAATCACTTGATACCCATTCCACCCCCCTCCTCCAACACCACACTCCCGGACCTTAGCAAAGGGAAGAACGTGCTCGCTCTATACCCCGGTACCACCACCTTCTATAAGGCGGAAGTGGTGGCTGTATGGAGACAGATCGATGGCAAGGTCAAGAAGGAAGATGGAGGCAAAGAAGGGGAGACTGTGGATAACCTTGTCAGGTTGAGGTTTGAGGGTGAAGACGAGGCGGATCGCGAGATGAGTGTTGAGAGGAGGTATGTGCTACCTGATCGATGATTGGGTAGCGTTTTCAGCTCCTCATGAGGTAGTTGGACTTTATACAAAGGAACTCTGTATGGAATCTGAGTATGGAGGGTTGGATAATGGTGGGACAGAGGGTGTTGTTTGGATTGAACTGGCTGATACCGCTTGTGACGCATTTTTGGTTTTGAGACTTTTGCATACTGGATTTGAGCTTTCCAAACTCAGTTCCACATTTACTTTACTACCCGATACTCACACTTATCTTGCAATGATTCGTGGTGTAGTTGACCTGGGCAGCCACAGGGCACGGCCAAGCCGCTAGCACCTAAAGTGAGTAAGCGTCTCGACCCCAGGGTGCACATCGCCAACTTGAAACCCTCACAACTCCGCAACTCAAGTCGACGTGACTCCGCACACGACACAAGACGCATTCTAACCTTGAATCAAGTGTCGCATTACTAAGAAGAAGTTGGTGTGCGCCTACTATCCCACCAACAGGCTTCCAATCCAATCACACGCGACTATCGACGCCCGCCGCACGCCAACTCCACCAATATCCGCAGCTATCTAATCTCCACCACCCAGACGCACCGACATCGCCATGAACAACTACTCTTTTCTGGAGTCCTCCCAGCAACAAGCCGCCCAACAACAGCAACAACACAATCAAAACCGCCCGCCGCCCTCTCCCTCACATTCACAAGCCGGCAGTATTGCAGGATCGCAAGTTAACGGCGGCGGCCAGAACGGCATTCCAATGGTCAATGGCTTGCCGAGTGGGGGCCAGCAGACAGACATGAATCATCTGTGGGCGGTAGTGCAGCAGCTGAGTCAGTTGCTAGAAGAGAACAAGGCGCAGACGAGGGGAATTGTGGAGGGTGTCGCTGCGATACAAGGGAGGGCGGCACAAGAAGAGGGAGGTGAGGTCGGTGGTGGGCTTAATCTGAGAGGTGGAGGAGGGGTGGGCATGAGGGAGGTCAATGGGGAGATAAATGGTATGTTTGGTCTGCTTTGAGAAGGCTTGAACAACTACATCTGTCTGATCTTGGATGAGCACACACTGACACCTCACACAGCAGCGACAGTAGCACATCTGCAATCACAGCTAACGGCCGCACAATCTACCATCGCCTCCCTAACCTCCACCAACTCATCCCTCTCCGCCCTCCTTACCGACTACGAATCCGCCTTGACTCTTCTCCTCGATAAACTACGTCCTTACGCCTACTCCCAAACATCTGCCATGCTCGCCCTGCACAAATACTACCAAGGGCTCCTTGACCAAGAGCGCTCAACATCTATGGGGCTGCGGCTCGAACACGCAGACTGGCAGGCCGGGTTGAGTCGCGTAGCGGAGAATGCAAGGAACGCACTACGATGCCAGAGTGAAATTGAACAAGAGTTAAGAGGCAGATGTAAAGAGTTGGGTGAAGAGAACCGGGTGTTAAGACGTATGGTGGGGTGGGAAGAGAGGGAAAGCAGTGAAGATGAAGCCGATGACAAGGCATAAACTATTTCTTATGATACCATCATGGGCGGCACATGCTTGGAGCATGTTTGTTATGCATAGCGTCGGCGTTTTGGGATGTCGCGAGACGACCGCGGTTTTGGGCGTCTATATATCCACTGCTGGGAACATTCCTGTGCCAACCGAACGACGAAGACACCAATATCATTCAGCTACAAGGGTTCGAATCTCAGAGCGACCTCATCTCACGTCCTCCCTTATCATTGCTCTTCCCCAAATCGATAGAAGATCGCATACAATCTAACCACATGGTACGCAGCCGCATCCCGTACATACCCCATAAGTTCCCGCGAATTCTTGACGATATACGTACGATCACTTTGGAACATGACCGAGGTCACGGCTTCCATTTCGTAAACGATGATGCGTTTTTCTGATGCGATCCAGGAGCGGGTTTCGGCGAGCTCGCACTGAATGACGGTGGAGTCTAGCAAAGATAACTGTGCGACCTTGGCAGCTGAAGAGAGTGGGAATAGTTCGTCTTCTTTGTCATGGTTCGGGCTGTTTGCGACTGAAGATGGTGAAGAGCGATTAAAGTTCGTCTCTTCCATGGCTTGTTGCAGTTCTGACAATGGTAGCAACAAACGGGCGGCGAACAGCTTCCGAAATATTGCCTTAGGCCATGGAGGCAACGTTGATCGCTGGGTCTGTTCTGAAGAGCAATAATCCGTACCGTCCGCCGTAACTCGATCAAGGAGCTCGCTACATGCTCGACAAGGAGAGTCATATGTGCCCATGATACGAGGTCGCGTCGGCCATCGAGAGCGTTCGCATCAAATCCGGCAATGTTTTAGTGCTGGAAATACGGCGTTTGCAAGTTACAAACGCCTTACCTGCGTCCCAGCAGAGGAGAAGTCGGTAGTCTGTCGGCTACATCTGTTTGAAGTTTGTACCCCCTGACCTCTGCGCCGCCTCCACGAGTGAACATGACATTCTGTCAGAGTTTATGGCATCATCGACAAACATTATTCACGCCGACAACGCGCGTTGTTCATTACGTTGTTGAGGTCCATTTCCAATGTGTCTTATTCACCAGCGCCAGTTGAAATGTACTGAGACGTCGGGGAAAGTTCATTCGATCTCGAAGTTGGTTCGAGAATAATCTGAATACTGATATCATGCCCCAAACTTAAGTCATTTTTGAAGAAGTATACGGAATCTCTGGAGGCAATAGAATAATCGATAAGATTACGGACGGATGATTGCATTCGCGTGCCGCATGGATGACTCTCGCTAACCCCAGCACTACCCCAGAATCTACCTCGGCACAGCTAGCATCCCCGCAAAACCCGCCTCACCACCTTCACACCGCGGCCCGTCGGGGGCCTTGGCTAACGCGATGAAGCCAATGGTCTTGCTATCTTAGATTAGTGTGCCGTCTGTGCAAGTATGGATGCCTCGGGCGTATTCGAACCGGTGGGTACTGGATGGATTACATGATGCAGCTCGTTGCAACTTCCCTCCGAGGCTTTCTCATATCAATTGAACACCACAATAACATTTCCGGAACGAAAATCATACCGAGTAAGTTGCTATTGCGTGTACGTATGTACCTGCTCGAGTCGTTGCTGATGCTGACGCTGACCAGGGACTCGCTCCTTCCGACTCCGCAGGCCTTCAGTAAGGGATACAGTACCAAGCTCGGTGTCCAAGGATTCATTCGGCCGAGTAATAAGAGTATAAAAGCCCATTTCAATTGATTCGAAGTGCTGCACCGTTATCAAAGAACCGACAACGTTGTTTCCTTGACAGCATTCAGCAATCGAACAGCAAAGATGGTGATCAAATCCCGCTGGTCGTTCCCTATACCTAACGTTTCTCTCCCAACATATATCTTCGGCTCACCTACCGCGGACCTGCCGAAGACACCACTCTACCTTTCTGCAAGCGAGCCCGACAAGTACAGCATTTCATTGCATAAATTCCGGCACGATGCGCAACGTCTCGCTTCAGGTCTGCGGCGAGCAGGTCTTCAACCGGGAGATCGCGTACTGCTCTACTCGGGGAATACGCTATTCTTTCCAACAGTAGTCCTGGGTGTCATCATGGCCGAAGGCATCTTCACAGGCGCAAACCCAACCTATATTGCCCGAGAGCTAGCGTACCAATTGAAGGACAGCGGAGCGCGCTTCATGATTTGCGCAGAAGGCAGTTTGGATACAGGAGTTGCAGCTGCGAAAGAGGCGGGCATGGGCGCTGAGAATATCTTCATCTTTGACGACGGTCTCGCAACGTTCGAGGGTCGGAAAGTGGAGAAGAGTACCGAACTAGGACATATCCGTCACTGGACTGAACTGCTCGACACCCCAGAACGCGGCTCTGCATACTCTTGGCCCAATTTACAGACACCGGAAGAACTCGATCGAGTAGTAGCGCTCAACTACTCGTCGGGAACAACAGGCGTTGCAAAAGGCGTCATGATAACGCACAGGAACTACGTCGCAAATACTAGTCAACAGATTCACATTCAGTCAGTCGCGGAAGACTATGAGGAAAAATTGAAGAAGAAGAAATACCTCTGCTTCCTTCCCATGTACCACGCCATGGCACAAGCTGTTTTCTGCTTCGGTGCCGTGAAACAACGCGTACCAGTCTACTTGATGCCCAAGTTTGACTTCTTAGAGATGCTACAGAATGTGCAAAAGCACCGCATCAGTGATCTGGTGCTGGTGCCACCAGTCGTTGTAGCCATGGCCAAACACCCGGCAACGAAGAAATTTGACTTGAGCTCAGTGACTGGCGTATCTTCTGGCGCTGCTCCACTCGGTCGGGAAGTCATCCAGGAGTTTGAACGGTTATGGCCGAATGGCCAAGTCAACGTCAAGCAAGGCTACGGTATGACAGAGGTTACATGCGCAGCAACTACATTCCATCCGTCGATCTACTCTGACAGCTTCTCTGTTGGCGAAATCTTGGCAAACTGCGAGGCAAAGCTCGTCTTGGATGATGACGGCAAGGTCGAAGCACCGCGAGGCGAGAGAGGCGAGATCTGGGTTCGTGGACCCAACATCATGAAGGGGTATTGGAACAAGCCTGATGCGACCAAGGAGACTCTTACAGAAGATGGGTGGTTGAAGACGGGAGATGTAGCATACGTGGATGAGAAGAACCATTTCTTCATCGTCGACAGGAAGAAGGAGTTGATCAAGGTGAAGGGTCTACAAGTTGCACCCGCTGAGTTGGAGGCGCTACTGCTGGATCATCCGGATGTGCAGGATGCCGCCGTCATCGGTATCACAGTGTAAGTTCACCACCCGGTTCTCTTGGTCTGACGACTGCTAATTGTATTAAGCAACGGCGATGAACAGCCTCGTGCGTACATCGTGCCTCAGTCGCAGGACAAGGCAACCCCGGAAACTGCTGAGAGTATCAAGAACTGGCTGGCTGAGCGTGTCTCTAGACATAAGCGGTTGGAAGGCGGTGTACATTTCGTGGATGCGATCCCAAAGAATCCGTCTGGAAAGATCATGCGAAGGCAGTTGAGAGAGAAGGCAGCGCTGGACGATACTAAGGCGAAGTTGTAGATCTGATAGATTATGCGTTCCGAGCGAGGCAGGTACACTTTTAGCAAGACAGCGACTTGGCGTTCAATTCAATACTTCAACAGTCCAGAATACTGTGCCAAGTCAGGGATGTGGTTGTTATCTTCTCAACGTCTTTCGTTCCCCAGAACATAAGAGTGTCATTCGTCTTCCTAGACATGAAATTGATGGCTTCGTGTTTCTTGCTGCTTTGATATATACATGCAGCATTCTCCACTCGTGACTGGCATGATCATCTGCTATTTCCGCATAATAACACCCTAGTTGCTTCGCTGTCCGTTCTTGGCTGCCCTCAGCTCGTCCATCTTCTTCACTCGCTCCTTGAACTCGTCGTATTGGCACTTTTCGTACGAATGTCGCTCGTTCTGGGGTTCTAGTCAGCCGTCTGCCCTCGTCTTTTCTTCACCCCGGTTCTCCGCATACCTCGCACTTCCAGGGTAGGTAGTACTCCTCGTACCGACACCGGTTCAAGGGAATAAGAAGATGTGCGCATGAGTCTCGGTAGGGTAGTGGCAGTTTGGCGGCGCTCATTTCCTCACGGGTAGCCTCTGCGTTCCCGTCAGTTTCTATTCCTTATGACCAATTGCGTCGATATGATTGGCAGGACGTACTCCTCGGCTCGCCGTCAAGGCCGACGGCATGCTTGATTGTATCGGTGACAGTCATACTGGCGGCCCTTGGTGCTGTTCGTCGTCAATGGCGCGCGGGGGGCTGGTGGGCGGAGGGTGGTTTGCGGGCGAGCTTGCTGAGGTTCACCTGCGGTCGGCAAAGGGAAGCTGACCACCGCCGGACCCCGACGCTTGGCAGGGCAGGCGCGAACGCGGCCTTCCAACGCGACTTCCCCCAGGTCTGACGCGAACTGCAGACACGCCTTCACGAAATCACTTGACACGCCTCCCAGACACCTTGTTACTGCTCTCCGAATGGTGAAGATGCCCCCCGCGCCCGATGGCAAGATTTATTCGGCAACATACAGTAATGTGCGTAGTAACCGCCGCTTGCGACACCTCAACCACGGCTTTGCGACGATGCACTGACAAACTCCAGGTTCCCGTCTACGAGTGCAATGTCAACGGCAACCATGTCATGCGCCGTCGCGCCGACGACTGGATCAACGCAACCCACATCCTCAAGGTAGCCGACTACGATAAGCCTGCCCGAACCCGTATCCTCGAGCGCGAAGTCCAAAAGGGCGTGCACGAGAAGGTCCAAGGTGGATATGGCAAATATCAAGGCACATGGATACCGCTAGAGGAGGGACGGCATCTGGCAGAGCGCAACGGGGTGTTGGACAAGATGCGCGCCATCTTCGACTACGTCCCTGGTGACCGCAGCCCTCCACCTGCGCCTAAGCATGCGACAGCTGCCTCAAATCGCATGAAGCCTCCAAAGCAAACTGCCGCGGCGGCGGCGGCCGCTGCTGCAGCCCGGAATGGTAAAAACGTCTATTCGCTTGAATCTATGCAATGTACGAGGTCACTCTCATTGGTCATTATTCAAGTTGCAATGCGCGAGAGATGAAGCTGACTTGTATTGCAGCATTTGTAACCACCAGCGCACAGTCGCAAGTTAGCGAAGAGCCGTACGAAGCCTCCCAGATCAGGTCGCAGATCTTTCGCGAGGAGACGCCGGACAACGAGACTGTGATTTCCGAGTCTATGTTGGGTGACGCCGACATGCTGGATTCTTACTCAACGGGCGGCAACAGGAAGCGAAAGAGAGGGGTGGATCAGATGTCTCTTCTAGACCAGCAACATCAGATATGGGCAGATCAGCTACTCGACTATTTCATGTTGTTAGACCATGAATCCGCCGTCTCATGGCCCGAACCACCGCAGAGCATAAACCTGGACCGACCCATCGACGAGAAGGGACATGCAGCCATGCACTGGGCAGCGGCCATGGGTGATGTGGGGGTAGTGAAGGAATTGATACATCGAGGAGCGCGCATCGATTGTCTGTCGAACAATCTGGAGACACCCCTAATGCGCGCTGTCATGTTCACCAATAACTTCGATAAGGAGACCATGCCGAGCATGGTCAAGATCTTTCAGCAGACGGTCCACCGGACAGATTGGTTCGGTAGTACCGTATTCCATCACATCGCGGCGACCACCAGCAGTTCGAACAAGTATGTTTGCGCAAGATGGTACCTCGACTGCATTATCAACAAGCTCTCAGAAACCTGGATACCAGAAGAGGTTACTAGGTTACTCAACGCAGCAGACCAGAACGGTGATACGGCCATAATGATCGCTGCGCGGAACGGAGCGAGGAAATGCGTGCGAAGTTTGCTGGGACGCAATGTCGCAGTAGATATCCCTAACAAAAAGGGCGAGACGGCAGACGATCTGATCAGAGAACTCAACCAACGACGACGAATGCATGGACGTACTCGGCAAGCTTCATCGTCACCTTTCGCGCCACCACCGGAACACAGACTCAACGGACACGTGCCGCATCTAGATGGAGGCCCGCTGATCCCAGTGCCCTTTCCTAGCATGGCTGTCCGAGAGCCTGTCCAGTATCGCTCACAGACGGCTTCACATCTCATGACCAAAGTCGCGCCAACACTACTGGAGAAATGCGAAGAGCTAGCCGCTGCGTACGAGTCCGAACTCCAGGAGAAGGAGGCTGAGTCTTTTGATGCAGAACGTGTTGTGAAACGACGCCAAGCCGAACTCGAAGCCGTTCGAAAACAAGTCGCTGAACTACAGGGTGTGTCAAATGGCCTACACATCGACCTCAACGACGATGAAGCAGATCGGCAGCAAGAAGAGGAACTGCGGTTACTAGTGGAAGAAGCAGAGTCACTCCTGGAGATTGAACAAAAAGCCGAGCTCCGTCGACTGTGCAGCAGCATGCCGCAACAAAATATGGACAGCTCGCCTGTGGATGTCACAGAAAAGATGCGACTAGCATTACTACTACATCGTGCGCAGCTCGAGCGGAGAGAGCTAGTCAGAGAAGTCGTGGGTAATTTGAGCGTGGCGGGTATGAGCGAGAAGCAGGGCACATACAAGAAGCTCATCGCGAAAGCGCTGGGTGAGCGGGAAGAAGACGTCGAGTCCATGTTACCTGAGATACTGCAAGAGTTGGAAGAAGCCGAGACGCAGGAAAGGGCTGAAGGACTTGATGGGAGTCCGCTATAGGCTTCATCACCTAACATCAAAGCGGTGGTGTAGCATGGTGGTTTACGAGTATTTACGACCCAGATAGCGAACATCTACCTGTTAATATATACATGTTTCTTGCTGCCTATTTTGCATTAATCGAGGCTACCGCGTGTACCTTGAAAACATCCGGCCGCGCTCATGGGATTCATGATGGTGGTCTCCACCGGGCTAATGCGTGTCAGTTGCTTGTGCATGCGTGGGGTTAACGACTTTCAGATGACCTTGTTATGCAAGGCGGCTGGATGTGACTGGATCACACATGAGGCTAAGGCTATGACGTGATTTAGACGGACTGGTCGACACCCAACTCTCCGCACCTCAGGATGCCGGACTTGCTGGAGCCGGAGACGATTTCTCGAGGACATGGCGAGGTTGAAAGGGGGAAATTTGGTAGTCTCCAGGCTGCGTATGCTGGGACGCGTAGCTCGGAGGTGAGCTGAGCCGCTATTGGACCCTGGGGCGGAGTGTACGGCATGCAGGGGCTTGGCTGTAGGGCATTGCACCAACACCTGAAGACAGATATCAGCAGTTTGCAACTGTCCAACTGACTAAGACAGCATAGCCTGCCGCCGCCTAATCCCAATACCACCACACGCTTGCAGCGGTCCCACCCATCTGCCATCCGGTACTGTCACTCGCTTGTATTCGTTGCCTTATGCCTGAGTCCATTCCCTTGAGGAAGAAGCCTCCGCCGCATCCTCGCACCCTCGTCCACTCCCTCTCTGAAGACTTCAGCCTCGAGCCCCCAAATCGGACCACCTCGCCCATTGTTGCTTCCGGGTCCAATCCCCGACAACTTCCCCGAACACGCTCTTCGTCGCGACAACATAGAAAAGCAAACGCAAAGGGTCCTTCTGCGCTCAAGGAATCGGATAGCCCAGCCAACTCAGACCTCGAATTCGACGACTGGGATGAACACGACGCGGCCATGCCCTCAGATCTTAGACCGTCAATGGATGTCAGAGAAGGACGCGCGAGTGCGCCCTTGCTAGGGCGCAAGACGGAGGACAACAGTATGGATGAAGGCTTGTTGGGGAGGAGCACACATCACTTCCACGAGCGGGATCCAGAGACGCAAGCAAAACACGAGACGCGGAAGAAGTACACATATGCGGCTTTCCTGCTTGCGCTGAGCTTGGTGAGCTTCACAGTACAGACGGAAACGGCGGTATACATCCAGCATCAGTTGAAATGGGAGAAGCCATATTGTATGCTCTACATGACCCACGGCTCGTGGGTAGTATTATGGCCAGCAACTCTCTTTCTATTACGTCTCCAGCACTGGAACGAGCCATGGCCGACCTTTTGGCGACGACACGTCCAGCTCCTCCGCCAAACCGCCCTCATGGTCCAGCACCAGAACCTCCACCCCACACCCCGCCAATCCCAAGTCTCGCCCGTACCATACATGCTCAAGATGACGGCCTTCATCACATGCGCTCTCACACTGGCAGGAGGAAGTTGGTACGTGGCCGTCAACCAGACCACGGCGAGCGACCTGACAGCCATATACAACTGCTCCGCCTTCTTCGCCTATGCCTTTAGCATCCCCATCCTCCACGAGAAAGTCCGCGCTAGCAAGATCATCGCCGTAGCCATCGCCATTGTGGGTGTCTTCGTCGTCGCATACGGCGACACCTCCCCCGCGAAACACGGTTCCCAGTCCGGAGGCGGAGCCGGCGGCGATAAAGCGCCCCCGTCCCGTGAAGCCGAGAACCGCGCTTTTGGCAACCTCGTCATTGGTATCGGAAGTGTGTTGTATGGGCTCTACGAAGTGCTGTACAAGAGGCTTGCGTGTCCACCTGAAGGCGCAGCACCGAACAAGGGTGTCATCTTCGCGAATCTGTTTGGTAGTTTGATCGGTGCTTTTACTTTGAGCGTGCTATGGATTCCGTTGCCTCTTTTGCATTACATGGGTTGGGAGTTATTCGAATTGCCGCATGGAGAGCAGGCATGGATGATGGCTATCAGTGTGTTGGCTAACGCTAGTATGTTCTCCCTCTCCCCTCCTACGACTTCAGAAAAAAGACATGGAATACTAACTCTACATCAGCCTTCTCCGGAGCTTTCCTCGCACTCATCTCCCTCACCTCGCCCGTCCTCTCCTCCGTCGCAGCTCTCCTCACTATTTTCATCGTCGCGCTTGTCGATCAGCTTCTTCCTCCGCCGCTCAACTCGCCTCTTACACCCGCTGCTATTGTCGGTGGTCTTCTTATCATCGGTGCGTTTATTTTGTTATCATATGCGTCGTACAAGGAGATGGATGAGGAAAGGAGACATAAGCTTGAAGACGCACCTAGTGAAATGGATGATTAGGTGTTATATGGGGGTGTAGACAGTCTTCTTTCGCTGCATAGAATTCTTTATTCTTCTTGGAACTGTTTCGCATACCACACATTTGGGGGTGGTTTGTCTGGGCGGGCTCTCACGCAGACCCTTTTCTCTTTGGCTTCTGTTTACGCGGGCATATGTCGAGTTGGAATCTTTCGCATTGCCGTGCTTTGGTTGGCAAACAGTACAGCATGCATAGATGGTGTCATTGGAGTTATATAGGGTTAGACTGAATGGTCACCCTGATGTTAGAATGGATCTTTGTCACTTTGCTACTTTCTGGAACTTGAGGCTACTGTGCGTTTGACGTATTTGCTGTGTGCCGCTCGTGCTCGGATGTGAAATATTATGCTGGATGCACTGACTGTAGACGAGGAGAGCGGTTCGGATATATTTTTGGATATCATTGCAAGTAAAAGATGGAGTAGTAAATCTGACGCAACGACTCGTTCTTTGTTGTGATAGTGAACGTTAATATCCATTGTGGTGTCGTAATGTCTGTCGTGGGATTGGTTGATCCTTGGTGGGTAGTGGAGAATGAAATGAAGAGAGAAGGTTCTTTTCGAGAGGGTCTTCAGGGTAAAGAGATGTATATTAGGAAGTAAACAGTCACGATACCTAGATACCCTGTTTTTAAAGAATCTCCCGATGTTCTATGGCAGTTCGTCGTGAGATTCTTTGTCATCTCATTCATGGTGGTTTATGTAGACAGAAAGGCCGTCGTCGTTAATTGATGTCAGCGGCTTGATCAAGAGTCATTCTTGTCGAAGATATCGATAGTCACGAAAGCCTTGGAAGCTAATCCACATGTGAAAAGGCAAGTTGACCCTGACCCTCAACAGTACCAGATATGTTTTCCCTGAAAACGGACAACTGCTAACTTTCCAGATGTAATAGATGATGGCAGGGCACACCTGCGCAGCACGGAGTGCATTTATGACCGCCTGAGAACACCCTGAACAATGGGTATCGCCTTCCTACAAGAGGGCCAGTGGACATGGCACCTCCATCCTCCAACGCGACTCTATTTTTCTAAACACATACATACAATCTGTGAATGACATTGATCTCGTTCTCAGCGTCTCTACCCACTGCGTTTTAGCGACTATTACCAATACTTCATTTTAGCCATGCCTCTTCTACAGCTTATAACAGATCGTCAAGGAGTCGAAGTACCCCAGCCGTTGCGAACCATTAAGCCAGCAGTTTCTGTTTCCTCTTCTTCATCTTCGCCATCAACACAGCAATCTCCCATCACTGCACGATCAAAAGCCTGGCCAGTGTCTGATCTACATAACCTCGAATATCCAGAGCCGTTACGTATCAGAAGGTCAACAAGCACCACTCCCTTGCCTTCACCATCACCACGGCCTCGCCACCTACAACTCACCCAGCCACTCCCTACTGACAAGCCATCAATTTCTACTCCTCTACCTCCGGCATCAGCTCCATATCAGCATCGCCGTCTAAATCTTTCTATCCCAATACGACCTCGCCTCACTCCACCATCAAAAGAGAAGCCAGTTGACTCTGCGCATCGAGAGTCTGACTCGAGGACTCCACGGTAGGTTCCCTCTTTATCTTTCCTTCTCCGAAGCACTTGTATTCTTCTGGCCTATATCTAACACAACCCCATCAGTACTCCAACCCTACGCATCAACCGTAAATACACATACCACACAGCCAACGAACCAGCAACACCCACTCTCTCGCTAGGAAACCATGTCTTGGTAACGACCGGAGCGACAAATATACCCACCCCATCTTCCTCTCGCTTCCTCTCGCTCTCACCACCATCTCCCTTCCGAGACGAAAAGAAACCGCCTATATCAAGCAACTTTGACACTGACGCCAAACTTCCAGCACCACTAACCCAAACCCTCGCCAACCGCAGAGATATCATCTCAATACCCCCATCTCCACCCTCAGCTCCCAAGCGACGGCGCACAGAAATCAAGAGGAAATTGACAGTAACGCGGAGAACCCTTTCCTCTCTACTGCCCTGGAATTCCGATCCTAGATTGGAAGACGATCTCCAAGTAATAGACGAGAGGCTAAGAATGACAGCACAGGCGGTGGTTAAATCGGAGGAGAAGTGGAGACGCTATGCTACTTTCATGCCGACGAGAAATGGGTTTGACGGGTTTGAAGAGACCACGAGGACGGCGGTGAGAGGGGTGTTGGAAAATCACGGGTATCCTGGTAGAAGGGTTGGTGAGAGGTTGGAGGTGGAGGAGAATGAAGAGGCCAATGGGGATGAGTTGCAGGTGAGGAATACTGTTGCTGAACAGGTCGTTGCTACTAGAGAGTTGGTGCGGAGACATATGGTGTCCAGCGAGCTGGTTAATAGAGCACACGAGGCTTAGTCGATGACATCCCGTCTATCTACAGGAGTACAGCTGTTAGCCATGATTATATGTGTTATTTCGTGGTTATCATCTACCTAGGTACATCTGACACCATTCATGCCCAAGTCTATTTTTCCCCAAACGCCATTGGAGACTCTATTATATTTCTTCTTCCTCTTCTTCTTCTTCCTTCTTCTTCTTCTTCTTCTTCTTCTTCTTCTTCTTCTTCTTCTTCTTCTTCAGTCAAAAGGCACTCTCCGCAACCCCCTAGCACCACCTTTCCTCGCTTCACCCTCGGCGCCAACAGCAGCCGGCACGCGAATTCCGCAGCAATCTCCCCAGCCGGCACTCGCGTGTACATGTCTCTTTCCCGTCTCATCATCAAACACCTTGACCTCTCCACACTCTTCCTCCTCTTCCTCCTTCTCCACACCCGCCTCCTCTTCAGTACTCATTCCATCCACAGGTGGTACCAAGCTACCGAAAAGGAAGTGTTGCATGACAGGCAACTTCTCTAAGATCTCCTTGCGGAACATTTTGCGCATTCCGGATTCAATCTTCAACCAATTCTTCGCCGAGGATATGTCATCGAGCATGGGTGAATGCCACCGCAGACCTTCAACGTTCTTGACAGAGTTGACAAAGGATATTTGGTCCAGGTATAGATAGTCCTTGCTCTCCTCCTCTAGTACCAAGGCGTTGTGTATGCTCTTCGGTGTGATGTATGGATGGTGAAGAAGTTGTGCTGCGCCGAATAGGAAGGGAAGGAACTGGTAGTCGTCTAGTCCCCAAACACCATGAGAACCCGCGGGCTCGAGGTAGTATGATTCCTGTACACTACGCATGAGGCGTAGGTATGCAGGAAGAATGACGAGGGCGAGCGCGGGGAAGGTTTTGTCTGGGAGGATGCCGATACGATTTAGACAAAGTAGCCAGAGGAAGAAGTTCAGCTCGTGGCCAGATCCGTAGTCTATACGTCGCTTGTTTCCGAAGGAGTTGTGAAGATACGTCGCTATCTCGTCGATCTGCGCCTTGTCTTTCAACCCCAGCTTCTCGTGCCACAGTGGTAATGAGATCTCAACCTCGTCGAGGAACGTACGGAAGACTGGGTTTCCGAATCGTGAGCCGGTGTCTTCCCTTGGACATCTTTCCAACACCTTGTCCGCCTCTACTAGTATCTGGACGACTGTTTTGACTGTGTCTGTGACTTCCTCATCTTTGATGCTCGAGATGCTGCGGTCGCGCACCGAGTCTGCGATGCCGAATACAAAAGCTTCGACCAGTGTGCACGTCTCACTCTTTAGGAAGAGATGATGATCTTCTGGACTCAATATCCGCCTCGAAGGTCGTGTGTATTTATGTCTCTCTAGATTCGGCGGCGCAGGTAGTGAAGGCGTTGGCGGGGGAGGGGCAGAAGGCGGTTCTCGCGATGTGGGGGCGCGTTTGCGGGGAATGAGCTTGGGTAGTTTGGCGCTGAGATTTGGCGGAGGTGACGGAATGGGTGGCGATTGTGTTTGTGTCATTATGCTGTGTACTTTATGGGTTGGTTGTTTAGGTGTAGGAAGGTAAGGTGCTCAGGGTCGAGATGCATGGAAAGTGGAGGAACGGGCCGCGGCTCCGAACGTCATTCGCGACTATCGCTGAACATCTTCGTTACACCGAACTGATCTATCAAGGCTTCTGTCGTATCGAGGAGCGGAAGATCATCCACGTACAAAATGGCATAGATCTCTTTCCCCATACTCTCAATATTTTGCCTTCCAGGCAGAATGCCTATCCAGCCTTGCGAACACTATGCATTCAATCTCCCGTTCTCTTCATGCCACCATTGACATCATATGTTACCCATATCTCGCACAAACATTGATTCACGCATACACCGTCGGGAGGAAGGGAACACTTCCGTCGTACTATCTTCCTGGGCTTGAGGCAACTGTGATGCCAGAGCGTTGCAACTTATCGCCCTGCACGAAGTATACTATGCACCTGTCGGGTTGCAGAGTGTAATACAGTTGCAGTAGGCATAATTTCGTCACTCTGGTAGACCTTGTTGAGAGCGTCATGGACAAGGACTATGCCCTGCTGAATTTACATCCAGTTTATAATAAGCTTGTACTCCCCCCAGGTATCCTCAAACGCGCTCAATTGCGCCATTTATCTCCTTCCTCGAACTGGACCGTCCTACTTCACATCAGTATCCTCAGTTATCATCCGTTCCTGATGATATTGTTATCTTTGTACCCTGTCGAGATGTCTGCATGGTTTTCGTATCTGTGCGCTGGATCTCTTTCCAACATGAAAGAGGCCCAACACTCGTGATTCTCGAAGGATTAAGCAATGTATTGCGACAGTTTTGAAGCAGGAATGGCTCTACTCTTAGTCATTTACCACATATCCGAATATATAACAGCTCCTATATATACACCATAGTAGCATCCCCAATCTAGACTCTTCCAGTCATCCATTCCAGGGGTATCAACATCTTCCAAAAGCGACGTGTGCCTTAAAGATCTCTCCAGCCCTCCAAATCGTCCTCCATCAATCTACCCAAGAGTAGATCAACTACACCCTTACATGACTGTACAGCACTTGAGCATCTTGAGCAATTTGGGCAAGCCCTTCTTGACGATCTGCTCAATCTCGTCGTTGTTATCCTGCTGTTGACCATGGTGTTGTTGACCACCATGTTGCGGCTGACCTCCATGGTATTGACCGCCGTGTTGTCCACCATGCTGTCCACCGTGTTGTCCCGGGTAGCCGCCATAGCTCGGTGCCTGGGGAGGGGGTGGCATCTCGTGGACATCTCCACCTTGCAGGTTTACAAAGATCCTACCCTCGTTCTCCTCGGTGCGGTACTGCAGTCCCAACTCGCGACACACTTGTTCGACCCTGGGTTTGATTTTTTGGACATGGTTCCTGCTGTGGTTGCCTTTACCCACAATGACATGCAGATGGCTCTCTCCTCTCTGTCTCGCAACCCTGATTCTCTCTTCCAAGACATCTTCGGCCTCTTCTACGAACAAGCCGTGGAGGTCAATGGTATCGCCCGCGACACGACCCTCGGCGTTGTTTTCCCGGAAGATGTAGTCGCGCGCCTGATTGTTGTACTGGTTCATTTTCGCTGCGTGGGCTTTGCCTTCTTCAGAGAGCTCGTGGGCGCGCGCTCCATCGCCGGATTCGTATGCTTGATGTGCGCGGTCGAAGCATGAAGATCGCTTTGCAGCTTCCTGGCGCGCAAGGTCTCGGAGACGGTCGTATTCGGCTTCTGTATCAGCGGAAGCGTGGTTTAGTGCTGCAATGGTACGTCAGACAATGCGCATTATAGGTTGCGAGCGATGAAGTGGTGATTCGTAGAGTTGTGTCCGGCATCGAATACGTACAGCGCGAGCCCAACGAGTGCATTTCCATGGTTGCCATCTTGTCGCGACACTAAATATATCAACCAAAAGTGCGTGTGAAGCGTCAATGATACTGTGTTGTATTGTTGTTGTCGAGCGAGGGCACATATTAAGATGGAGCTCGGAGCCGCTAAGCGGATGCATGCAGGACGCGAGATGTGCAGGGTCCAGATTCGTGGCTCAGCGGTGAGGATCGGGCGGCCCGATCATGGCTGGTGCGTCCACGATTGAACGATCGAAGTGGAGAACAATGAGCTGTACTGCATGTGAAGCAGTAAGAATATTGCGTGGATTGGTTGTGCCTTAGCTATGCTGTTGCTGATTCCGGTGTACGCGCAGAGCTTTGCGTTGTGACTGTGCTATGCGTGCCACGTAGAATATCGTTTGACAGGTCTGCGACATCAAGTGATGCCCTAGAACCGAATCTTCGGCCCAACGAAGACGATCAGGAAGGCGATTAACCATAATCCAGCGATCATGCAATATAGCTTGATCCTGTCCCACCAGCCCTTGCCCTCAGTCATCCTCCGCAGCGCCCCCATCCTTCTGCTAGCAGCATCCATGTTCAGCGTGTTCTTGTCCAGTCCAGCAAGTGCTCGATCCACTACGCTTTTATCACCTTCGAGCGTGTTTCCAAAATGTATTGACTGTTCCTTCAATTGCCTCGCCATATCCAGCAAGTCTGTTGTGAGCTCTTCTTGTTCGTTACGTTCGTGGGAGAGGAGCGCCTCTGTTTTTGCGAGGGATGGGTCGCCTGTCGTGGGCTTGGAGGGGAACAGAGAGTTGCCGGATGCTGATTGTGCCCCCGCTGCGTTTGCGTCTGCTTTGCCTCTCCGGCGGAGTTCTGATGCGATGCCTTGTGCTGCATTCTGGAATGCTTCGTTGCCTTCAGTTGCTGTCGACACATCGCGTCCGGCTTCCGTCTTTACTCTTGGTGCGTACGAAGGGAACTGGTCTGCGTCTTCATCGTCGGAATCTACAGACCCCTCCGACTCCGTGTCGTCTAGCTGATTGAGCTCGTATATTCGTTGATTGAGCTGCTTGATGAGTTCGCGTTTCTGCTGTAGATCCTTTTGTAGTTCGGCTTTCTTCGACTTGGAGGGTATCGTGGAGGCGGAGTGTTCGAGACTAAGAAGTAAGGTACGCGCATGTTCAATATTCTGCAGTGCCATTAGTTCACCTAATGGGACATGCAAACAAAGATGTGAAGCTTACCGCACTGACGCGTGCGCGCTCATAGGTTGACTTTCGCAACTGTGGTGACGGATCAACCAGTACTAAGCGATCTAATCTGGACAGCAAGCGGTTGAGATTGATGCTTGTGGTATCGCCAAAACCTGGCGAGCGAGATCTGGTAGTCATGTTTGACTGTCGTGATATGTTCGTACGTCGGCGCAGTTGAAGCAGGAGTGGTGAAGATGTGCGCGTTGGTGGGGTGTTGTATTGGCACACGTTGCTTCCTTGGTTGAGGCGTTGGCTGAGAAGTCGTGTTTTACCAAGACGTTGGTGAAGTTGCGATAGTGGTACTTTGGACTATGCCTGTATGTTGATGCAAGGTGTTGTTCATGTGGATTTACATGTTCTGGCCACGACGTCACTTTGGTGAACACCAATCGTAGCCTGGTGGATCTCCCCCCACAAAAACCTAAGTTGTTGCTAAGATCAGAACCCACTCACATCACAACGTCTTATAGAAGGCTCATCGAAATAAATGCTCATATCCAGTACATCGGTTTGATATCATACACATCTTACGGTCGTATAAAAACTGACCAAATCCATCGCTATGCGGTCTTTGCGCCAACGCGGCAATTGCAAGCTTTAAACTCCATGCATCGTTATAACATGCTAATGTTCCTAACCTCAACGCTGTTCGAGGCTCTGAGGACCCAAAAAAAGACAGAATCACCGGTCAATCTACTTCTGACTAGGTGTGTTCATGGGACCGCGGGTGAAGCTATGCATTGTTAGGTTTGCACCAAGACCGGCACGTAAAATAAGGACTTACTTGTTCCACAGAGTTCCAAGGAAACCTGGCTTTCCGTATGCGTCGTGGAATGACTGCCTTCGAGCCATGCTCTCTTCGTCTTGACGACGCTTCAGGGCCTCTAGGTTTCCGAATCGCTGAGCGGCCGAAGACTGAGAGACGTTAGTATGTCTTCTATTATTAATCGTGACTGTAAGCCACGGTTGTGGCATGCATACCCTGCGACGTCCATCATAAGACGAAGAACCAACCGAAGACTCTGAGGAGCGACGGTCGGCCTCTTGCTTAGGTGCCTCTGGCATGGCTGGAGTGGTGTTGTCTCCAAAGACCTTGTGGGTCTGGGAAGAGTACTTCTGCTGGAATGGGGAAGGCATTGTGTAGTATGACAAACTGGTTGGAATATTTGACTGTTGTGTTGAGTGAGGTTTGCTGGTGGAGTATGGTTGTTGATGGAGTAAAGAAACTATGGGAGACCAACACCTTCATATAACCATTCTTCAGCTGAATCCGTTCCAGTGTACGATCGCTCGTGGCCTGACCATTACGCAGATGATATGTGATCGTGCCAATCAGATGGGGGCTGCGAATCCCCCGCATTCCAAACGTGCAGCTTGGACCCTGGAATCTGTAACGATGACATGAATGGGTAACTGATGAGCGCCAACCTGCTTTCGACTTCGTTGTTCAAAGCTAAGACTTGGTATCCAGCGAATGAGGTCTTGATGATTCATACGCATCATGTACGTCTCGGGGTTCCCTAGCATGAACCGCCGATATCATGCACTCTACTACGTAGTAAAATATGACGTCGATCGACGCCGACAGTCGTGGTCTCGAAGACAGCTCGCAAGAGTCCAAGCCCGGATAGATTGTCGGGGAACGGTAGCTCATGAGGCACATGCTTGTGCCTTTTCATAGTATATCGATCGCGCTAGCTTTTCGAGGTAGATCGGGACAAGACCGACCACTGTAAGATCCTGGGGTAAACTGGGCCCATGACGGCGTGGTCGACGGTGTGTTTGAAGATGGAAGCCTCAACACGCACACGCGTTGCCTTATCTTGCAGTCGTTCAGTTGATGGGCACGGCTAAGTCGTCCAGCTGCAGAGCCTGAAAGAGCTGACGATCCCTTATCGCTATGGTAGCACTCGACATTGCACTTACTTCGCTACGTAACAAGAAAGCCTTCGAGAAGAAAAAAGAGCAATTTCTACTATTAATGTCGTTGATGTCATCTCCAAGGGTTTATCGAACTGCTCACCGTGCATTGTGTTGCGATGTACTAGACCCTGCAAATCATGAAGCCCACGGTCGAGGAGCGGGTAGGATACTGAACACGGGCGGTAGCGTTACGTGCATGACGTCTGTTGCTGACTAAGGGACACGCGTTGCCCCTTTCGATAAGCGAGGATGGAAGAAATGTCTTTCGCTCTGGCACTGCAGAACTCTTCCTCATCACTCAAAGCCACTCGAAACTTCGATGCAGGCATCCGCCAATCTTTCCGCCATCGGCGCAGTCCGAGTCAACCTCGCTGCGACCAAAAGGACACGCGTCTTGTGCCGTGTCTTTAGAGTTTGAGGCTCCCCGCTCTTGGGTAGCAAGCTGTTTCTTCGAGGTGAAGATTGGCAGGTACTGATGCAGATCCCTCGGGCATAGAAAAGCCGGGCCGATGAGAGAAAATCTCATCTGCTCCGTGTCGTTGTACATGCTGCGGCTCACTCACTCTCCTTTTCCCTCAATGCAGCCTCAGACAAATCTGGCGCAAACACAGTGCGTGTCATCGACTGCACTGCCTCAACGTCCGCTTGAGGTCGGCGAGTGCGAGATGACAGTTTCGTACAGACGCAACACTCACCAAAGGTACGTTAAGCACTGATTCTGATCGCCAACCCCTTTCCTCTTTCCTGATGATACCACATATTTCAAAGCATAGTTCATCTTAGTCTTCGGACAATGAGGAACGAATTCAGCAATGTCTTTCGCTCCTATCTGATATCAAATTTTACCCTTGCATACTTTTCATTCATCGTCCGAACATCTTCTAACAATGAATAGACTTCCCGAACATTCCACATCGCTTTGAGCTTTGTACCACAAAGTAGGTCATAGTTACTATGCAATGCCTGGCAGAAACCCGTTGCGTGGTATGCGGCGCATCGGCTCACAACGTCTCAAGGATAAATGCTGTGCGTGGTTGCCAACACACAGCCGCCGACGATATGTGTGCTACAGAACATGCCTGACGAGGCAACCACAGTGAGGTTGCATCACTGTGATGTATGCAGGTGCCACCATAATCTGTTGTGAAGCCATGTCAGATGTAGCTCTATCGGTATCTATATGCACACTTTTACGCGCCCACACTGTCACTCTACTTTACGAATAAATAAAATTCAAGGAGACAGTCAGTGCGGAGCGTTGCGGGTGAGCCGGCTGAAGGGAGGGAGGGACACCGTTGTCCCATAGCCCAAATCTGTTCAATCAAAAGTACCGGACGATTGCGCGTTCGCCGGGAGCCGCGCAACGCTCAGCCTTTCCCTGCTTCGCTGCAAATCGCTGCAATGATTTGTGAGCATTATTGCCGCTGCAGAGTTTATTTTCGTTGATCGCGGGACTACACGAGAACCAAATCGATCTTGTGCACCACCGGCTGCCAGAGTTCCTGATTTTGCAGGTTTGACGGAGCTGTCGAGCCGCCCTCCGGCGTCGCGGTTGGTGGTTGGCAGCGGCGATCGCTTCCCACTCTGCAAACCCGGCAATCCCCTGATTGCAATTCAGTTTAGATTCCCACATTAACCCATGAGCGACAGCAATATTTCGCCGACTCGGAATACTGTCCTCCCATTATGAGTCGCGAATGGCGCAGGGTAACTAGAGAACCGAGCTCCATCTCTGTGACGTTAGCGTCTGACACAGATTGATAAGAAGTGCGCCCGTCCCTACCCAGCCGCAAAAGAATTTTGGCCCATTGGTTTTGGAACCGCCGAAGCACCGCAACAGGATTTTACTCGTGGGATATGCGTGTGGGGCTCTCTCCTATGCGTTGGCACTCGAACTAAGCCACCAACCGGTCAGCACTCGTGCCCGCCCACACATTCTTGTCCCGCTCGTTTCCTCCCTCCCTCTTCAACACCACACCACCAACACACGAAGACAACAATCGCCTCTGCAAACAAGCAACCCCCAGCGATTTTTCTTGCACAATTTGCTAGAAACGAATATCAAAATCGACGAACAAGCAAAGAGCCCTTGCTCAGGATGACAATTCGGAGCCCAGACGGAGCCCTATCTAGGTACTTACTGCCCAACGGTTTTCCCCCAACTCATGTTCTGCTTTACGCGTTTCCTTACGTTTGACTACTACGACATCCTGTGTTGCTAGATTCATGTGTTTCTTTCCTATTGTTGTTTGCTTTTTGTTCTGCCGCCATTACAGCCCACAAATGGATACCCAAAGGATGCCACAGGACACCATCCAAAGGATCTACCGCCCCAGTAATGGATTCCCATATGGCCACTTTTCTTCAGTTTCCCAAGACCGGATGCCTCCTGGTACAGCCTTCTAGGATTCGAGAGACGTAGCACACTGCCCTTGCGGTGTTTGTAGACACGACAACTACGAGGCCTCGCTGCCCCGACTTCAGAGCAATGATGTAATGCTCTCGAAACGGCGGTGAACAGACACGAGTGGATCCTCGCGCTAGTCACATGCGCTACGACGCACTATTACGAAGATGATCTACGACAAAGGCATGCAACCCTGTATCGCCTCAGGACAACGTAGGCAACTCTCAGCAATGTCGTTCAATTTATGTTATTGTTCGACTGCGCTAAGCGACAAACGACTGGTAGTATCACTGCACGCAATCCCTTTCAGAGGAATCCACAACCCTGATGAAGCCGTTATGGACCAGCCTGCGGAACCTCCCTGCCAAGAGGAACAGCCACATGGATACCTTGACCTGGACTTGCCAATGGACGCTAATGAGGACCATCCATGGTCGTGGAGTTGATTTGGAGACATTTGGAGGTTACGAAGTACGTACTGTAGGCTACCGCTCTAGCCTATCCACATCGACCTATTGATCCGAAACTAACTTGAGTGTTGTCAAAGGAGCACAAGATGTTCTGGATGATTTGTCCTCTTCCACTATCACTGGCCTCATTCTGGATACTACTGGATCGAAATCTGGATCACTACTTTCTCGCTTCCAGGCCTCGGATGATTCCCAACTCACCATGAAGGTGGTGTTCACTCTCTCCTCTAGGAATCTGGTCACCATCTCGCCCACCATGAATACTACCGGTTTCGTCCAGGTGCGTGCTAACTACACTTACTCTTCTGCTGCTTTAGCTGACTCGTTGCTAAATAGGTCTCGCTTGGATACACTAACATGGCGTTTTCCTTTGTCTATCTTCATGAACATGTTAGGTTTGCAGTGCGAATGCATGGGTACTAACTTTGGTGTCCAGCGACTCTTTCTTCGACTCACCACCGGAGACTGCTTTCTACATCTCAAACATCACTGAGTGGCGAAAGGAAATCCCTACACCTGTTGTTTCCGCACCGGACTTTCCTTTCTCTTCAGACTTCCAGGACATGCACACTTCAGACTTCTTCGAATTGAAAGATACTGCTTCTGAGTGCAGCATGGACAGCGCATACCAGAGCCAAAGTGGCGCCAGCCGGCGCGGAGCCCAGAAGCCAGAGCTACACCGCCAGGACAGCCGGAGCCGGATGAGCAACCAGTTCGTTGGCAGCGACATTTACTCACCAACCATGAGCTCCGACAACTACAGCGCATTCCCAGAGACCCTGGACATGAGCCACATGCATCAACCAGCCACATCCGGAACATGGAATGCCACAGAGGGACCGCTCTCTTATGCTAACTATTCTACTGCTCAGGATTACACACATTACTCGACAGCAAACATGCCCCGCTTCGGGCCTTCAACTCTCAACGACTCACCACAGTGGGCTACGTCCGAAACCAACTTCCAAAACAACCCATTCACCTTCACATCGTGGCCAACGAACGACAACATGTTCAACACCACCCCTCAACGAAACTGGCACAGCGCTTCTTTCGATGCTTCAGATCGTCCTGCTACCCTACGTAACTCATCATCATACTCTCTTCATGAAGAGTCACGGCGAGCTTCTGCTCAAGATGCCGGCTTCGGCGCATTTGTCGGTACTCCAACCAGCACTACCAGTGTCCACTTTCCCCAGGCAGTGAACAACACCATCGAAGAGACCAAGCCCGCGTCTGTGGCTCAATCAGTTGACGACAATGAAGACATCCTTTCTCAGTCTGAGGCGGCAGAGACCAAGCTCGAAGAGGAGCGCACCAAGGTCGCACGCAGCCACCCACTTTACCAGCAGACACCAGACAAGGATGGCAAGTACCACTGCCCCGAAGAGGGCAAGGCAGGATGCACACACAAGCCCACAGCTTTGAAGTGCAACTACGAGTAAGTCTTTCACTCATTACGCCAGTCATACCGTGACATGATCTGACCTTTTCCATAGCAAGTACGTGGACTCTCACCTGAAGCCATTCCGTTGCAACAAGAAGACCTGCGTTGGTGTGCAGTTCTCCTCTACTGCGTGTCTCCTCCGTCACGAGCGGGAGGCACATGGCATGCACGGTCATGGAGCGAGGCCACATCTGTGCCACTTCCGCGACTGTGAGCGAGCAGTCCCAGGTCACGGGTTCCCTCGTCGCTACAACCTCTTTGATCACATGAAGCGTGTGCACCAGTATGACGGGCCCACTACAGAGCCCTCGCCACCAGTTCAAGGACAGGCTCCTCGCAAGTCGGCGTCTCGCAAGCGCAAGGCGTCAGCTGAGGAGACTGGCGAGAAGCGCGTCAAGGTCGTCAAGCTTACTGCCGAGCAACAACGCCAGCAGCGCCGCGACGCCCTCACCAAGGAGTTCTTGAGCAAGAAGCAACACATCATCGATGTCTTGATGAACCTCAACACTCCAAGTGATCTTGGGGACGACATTCAGCTCACAAAGGAGGTTGTCGGACTTCACGACATCTGCACTCAGTACCGAGATGTCTTCGGCGGCTGAATGAAGCACACGTGTCTGGTAGACTCGGTCTGCTGAGACAGCCACAAGCAGGTTTGTCATCATAAAGCCGGATCCCTACCCTTGTTTTTCCAATACATACATCGCGTTTGATTTTCTGCGTTCTCCGAACCCGGATGGATTCCCGCATGCCTAGCGGATGAAGGACCATGACTTCCCATAAGTCTCGGAAGGATGCCTCTTGCCCTGGATGGCCACAACTCCGGAAACAAATCCAGGATACAGAGCCAAGGACATGTCCCAGCCGTGGACTTGGATGCCGAAAGATCGCTAGTCGACTCTTGTAGCGACAGCAACCCCTGCTGAGGGGAGATGGACTGAGGTCATACTCATTGCAAAATGGTTGGCATGAGTTGGTTGATGTATCAGATTGATCTATTGTTAACGGAGGATGTAATTAGTGAGGCTGTATTTCTTTGGATATGGAGTTGATTTGGATACGAAGAAGGATGACCATGGTGAGAGGTCGGTCTTGTATCGCCACCATTACCCGCCGCGCGGACGTTGGTGGCTGAAGTAGGAGATTGTTTTTGTATATAGTATTGTTATTGATCCTGTTGTTGTTTAACGCCTACGTCTCTAAGAATGAAGGACATCTCTGACTGCCAAAGTGGTGATTGTGAAGAAGCAGTTCGCGTGCGCACTATTTCGCTGACCGCTTCCACGAATGCCGGCATACTTCGGCAGCCCCTCCATGCTTCCAAATACCTTCTCCCAAGATAGGACTGATCGCGTCAGTTCCCAAATGTAGCAAGCAATCACCGACGTTGTCAACGGCGCCCCACCAACAGTTGGGTTTTCGTCCGTACCACGCGGTGGGCGGGACAAGCCGAGGTTCTGTCGCAGCTGTCAGCACCCCAACCACCGAAGCCCAGAGCCCAAGATCGGGTCTCCATCAGGGTCCTATTTCGTAAGCCGCAAACTATCAGCCAGAAATGTGCAAGGCCAGACCAGAGCCTCTCGAGTAAGCAAGAAGAGTGATCAACGGAGCTCCGTGATCACATGTCATGATTCGATTGGGAGGGGCGACAAGCACAGCCCCGCGTATCGCGACGAACTTCAGGCCTGTTTTGCGACACGACTTAAAACTCCGAAGCCCTACCACCACTTTTGCACCTCTTGCTTACACGAATTCTATACAACCCTACATACCTAGTATCGGAAGGAGAGCTTTCTACGTAAACACACAAGTAACAGGAAGAAGAGCGCTTTACACAACCATGGCTTCCGCAACCAGCTTCTTCGACTTCAAGCCCAAGGACAGTACGTTTACTCATCATACCAGTTCACCCTTCGATACGCCTCGGCCACTAACAATCCACAGAGAAGGGCTCCCCATACGACCTCAACAAGCTCAATGGCAAAGTCGTCCTCGTCGTAAACACGGCCTCAAAATGCGGCTTCACGCCCCAATTCGAAGGCCTAGAGAAGCTTTACAAGGAGATCAAGGGCAAATACCCCAACGACTTTGAGATCATCGGCTTCCCCTGCAACCAGTTTGGTGGCCAGGACCCAGGTTCCAACGACGAGATTCAGGAGTTCTGTCAGCTCAACTATGGCGTTAGCTTCCCGGTCCTCGGAAAGATTGATGTAAGTACAAGTGCAACCCTCTCACACGTCATTCTCTCAACACGCATATGAATCGCGCCCCAAGCGAGGACTGAGCACTGGCTGACACTTCCTTTCTGCAATAGGTCAACGGCGCACAAGCAGACCCCGCATTCGAATGGCTCAAGAACGAGAAGCCCGGCCTCATGGGCCTCAAGCGCGTAAAGTGGAACTTCGAGAAGTTCTTGGTTGGACGTGACGGAAAGGTCAAGGGCAGGTGGGCAAGCACCAAGAAGCCTGAGGATCTCAAGGCGGAGATCGAGAAGGAGCTGGGCGGCAAATAAACGTTGGGCGTGAGCGTATGATGATTGCGCGGTGACACAGACACTGGTCGCGTTGGGATATATGATGGAGTATTGATACCACTTGCATTGAATGGAATTGATGGCATTATTCATGGGATTGCCGTGCATGACTGTGGCGAGGCGAATACCATTGACAAATGGAGATTGTATGCTAGCTAAGACAAGAGTAGAAGGTACTCGCCGACCGGACTTCCTGTGTCGTCGCAGCACTAACGGAGCAGACACGTCGAGCGCCAGTACTATACAACAAGCAGGCTCCAAGAAGGGACCACGACGCAAAGTAATGGTAGAAATGCCGTCAGAGATGCCAATTTGTTGACTGCCCTGGTCTTTTAAAACACTAACAAATCATTTCATGTGCAGCAAGCATACTTCTGCTTCCTAGCCGTCACGAGCGAGCATCTCAAAGTGCAGGTACAAAACCTCTCCGGTCGACCTATTTACTCCCTTTTGCCATACATTTCCACTCAACATGGGGATACAAAAAAGAAACATCCAAAACGTGTGTGGGCTTCTTCCTCTAGCATTCCTTGATCGCTACGCCAAACCTTAAAACTATCACCTTTCATGTCTGCGTCTCTGGAAAACAAGGCATGTTGGAAACCTGGTGGGGCAGTTATGTGTGTAGCTTTGTCTAAATCGATATACAATGACCTTCAAAGTGCAGAACTCGGTTTCCATGACATGAGAGCTGGGGAACCTTCCGGGGGATATCCAAAGAAGTAGTGATTCGTGCGAGATCAAAAGCTTAAACTCGTCTGGTTATGTACTCAGGTCACCTTGAGTCACAAGCTAGAAGCCCAAACGTATATAAGCTCTTCTTTCCCAGCCATCTTTCCCACTTCCTCTACAATATTGATAATCGAACATCGAGGTCTAGAACTTCTTCAGAGATGGCCTATGGAATGGGAATCCGTCTCCACGAATTCATCACGCCAATGTCGCTTTCCCCAAACTATCTGCAGAATGGCCATGGGCAGTAGTAACAATCACCACGCGATGAGCTTTACACCATCTGAAGTGAACACAAAAAGTCTGGAATATTGCTTCCTCGTCACTCCCATCCGCTCATTTCATTTGCCCACGAAACAACAAGAACATATATGATGTGCGCTGGATTTGGCATCGAGCTTACCTCCAATTAAAGAACAGAAATCAGCTTCTCTCAATTTCGTGAGAAGCTTGAGCGAGATGTGTTTCGACTGGACGAAATCGTCGAGGAAAGTCGTGTCAGAAAGTGGTGATGATGATGATGATGATGATGATGACCATCATCATTAGCATAAGCGTAACAACAAAGCTTGACCAACGGATTGTGAGACGGAAAAAGGACCAGTCACTGGGGAATGGTAAAGCAAAAATGTTATGATTCTCTAGCAACGACTGTAGTATGATTTTCTCCCCTTTTTCTGCATACAATATCTGTGATAAGCCCGAGAGGGCAACAAGGAGTGTGAGGAATCGAATGCTGCTTCTTCGAGATAGCCCGTGAAGCCCTGCGTACTGCGGCTGGAGTTACCTGTCTTGTATTGTGTCCTCCATACAACTCCACAGGGCCCATATTAGGGTGCGAAGTCTCTGAGTTACACACTTGCCGGCACATGGCCACTTGTTGGCACGGATGCATGCGCTATGGCATCTGGAGGATAGGTACCTAGTTAAGCTACAGTACGGACTGATCCAATATCGATATTGGTGCTAACGCACTGGCAGTCGCCTTCTTTGGTCCTACCAACGGAGCGCACTGTAGGTCGAACGGCCCACGGTGAAGCAGATCTTGCCCCGTTGGGTGGAAGAGAGAGGCTCGCAGCCAAAACGTGGAATGAAACCAGTAAGAATAGTTCCTACGGTATCAAGAGACAGGAGATCAGTCGTATCCGTTGTTGCCAGTGCCGATCTGACTAGCGAAAGCTGTAGAAACGCTACGAGCATCGTCATCCTCGAAGCCACCAAGCCCACGAGGCAGGCCACGACCAGCACCGAAGCCAGTCCCGACGTTGGGGCCCTGGCGAGTGTTCTCTACGTAGCGGTTGAGACGGTCTGATTGACTGAGTGAAGTAGGCTTGTTATAGTCGTTCAGGCTCAAGCCAGAAAGGCTGATACCGCCTGGTGCATCGCTGCGAGTGTCGGTAAGCTCACTAGCGGCGACCGACTCACCAGCAACGCTTTGAGGCGCGCCGTTCTTGCCTTTGCCGTTGGGACGACCAGGAAGAGGCCATGACTCCTGGAAGTTAGAGAACATTGGAGGGTAGTTGGATGGAACACCAACACCACCAAGGGCAGATGAATGGACTGAAGAGACGTCGTCTGGGATGTAGCCAACAATGGAGCCATTGTCATTGTACTCCTGGCGAGGCTTGTTGCCATTGAAGCCAGCCTGGCGACCTGAGGTCATGGCATTGGCATGCTGGTAGGCCATCTGGTAGCGCTGAGGTCCACGGTAGGTCTGCTTCGGGCGGCTAAATTGCAGAAGCGAGACCTGCAAATTGGTCAGGGGACCCTCAACAAGGCAGTTGCGCTCCTTGAAATGGAGAAGGAGGTAGTGCCACAGCGGGTGCTTCGAGAGGACCTTGGGGTTGCCGAGGATGACAAGACCGTACTTGGCACGAGTCAGGGCGACGTTGAGACGACGAGGATCGCTCAAGAAACCAATACCTTGGTGGTCGTTGGAACGAACACAAGATAAGATGATAAAGTCCTTTTCACGACCCTGGAATGCGTCCACGGAGGCAACCTCGACTTCCTTGTAGTTCTCCTTCTTGAAGCTGCCTGTTGCCTGCATAGAGCTGACAACATAGCTGCGCTGACCTTCGTATGGAGTGATGATACCGATATCGCCAGGCTGTACACCAGCCTTGAAGAAGCGAGTGACAATCTTCTCGACGTTCTGGGCCTCGGTACGGTTGAGGTAGGATGTACCGGATGCTGAGATCTCTTCTGCGCCGAGGTTGGACCAGAACATCATGGGGCTGTCAACAACAGGCCAGGGGAAGTCGACGTCGCGACGGATGCGTTCCTGCATTGTGACACCATTCTGCAGAGAACCCTCGTAGAACATGTTTGAAGGAA